TCCAGGGAGACAAAGGTAAGAGCAGACATCCTGGACTGGTGAGCCAGGGCTAAGCTGTGCCAAGGCCTTTGTTTCTGACTTGGAAGAGGCTTCGGATTTCTGTCTTTTTTTCTAAGAACTTGGATGTACCATGTGGGCACTGCAGTGGCCAGAATCAACAAGAAAAACAATACCCTGGAGAGAAACCTACTCCCTTAAGTTATAGGATTATGGTGCGTGCCTGTCAAAGTTTCCGTGTCTGTCACATGATTATACGTCTCTTTGTATTTCTTATCTGGGTATGCCTGTGTTCCATTGTCCCCATCTGTATACCTGTTTGTGTTGTATGCTGGGAGAGAAAATGGGGGCACATATATTGTGTCCTGATTCGTGAATTAGTGCCTGCCTGCCTGCTTATGCTGTGTGCCTGTATATTAGCATGCATGTCTGCATCCTGAGTCTAAGTGATATTTGTTTTCATGTGTTTTGAAGCCTGTTTATCTGTGTTTAGCCCCAAATTTCATGACTTCTTCCACCCCAACACTTCTCCTTCACTCCACTTTAGTCACTCCCTCTTGTGCTCATGGCCTGAATCTCAGCATCAGTGAGAAGGGCTCCACCTCAGAAATCTCAAAAGCCAGTGTTTCATGTTCTGACCTGCCCTCTGCTCTGCTCTCTCCAGTTCTCTTACACTCTTACTCTCACCACACTTGTCTTCTACCTCACTGGTGCCTCAAGCTTGCACAGCTCCACATCCCCTGCAGCATTGACCTTCAGGTGTTATCATTTCAACAGTTCTCTCCTCACCACCATCAGTGTCCTAACCTTCTCCTAGGTTTACCCCAGCCAGCTATTCCACAATGATGTATTTGAGCTTTGCTTAAGAAAAACTGTAAACAACGGGGTGGATAGGTCTACCTAAAATTCATCACCTGGAACCATAGCTGGGAATTCCTCTACTTGATATAAACTGCCTCCCCTGGGCCTCCCTGGTGGCGGCAGGGGTTAAAGCACAGCACCGTGAAGCTATCTGCAGCCTCTGCAGCACGAGTTTGATCCCCAGCCAGCCAGGAGGTTACCCACTTGGTGCAGCAGGCCTCTCCTGCCTTGCCTGCTGCTCCCCTCAGCAGTGTATTTCAGTCAATCTGTTATAGGACAGGGGGAGGGGCAGCCCAAACCCCGCAAACCTGCCTATTCTACATGGGTTCTGCCATCCGCCGCATCAACACAAAACATATAAGACTTTAATGGGAAGGAACTTTAATAAAACTAGGAAACAATACAGGTAATGCAGAGTCTAGTTTCTAAATGAAGCACCCAAAGTTACCTGTCCCCTCGTGGGTAAAAGTCCATCCAAAAGGGATTGGCCCAGAGCAAGGCCCCAAAGCCTGCCACAAGTCTAAAGCATCTTCCAGTGGGGACCCACAGCAAAGGGTCAGAAATAACCAGACAAGCCCGGAAGGAAAAGAGCAAAATCAACATCAAGATAAAAGCTGCCATTGTCACCTCCCCACGGGTCTCACCCACATCTGTGTCACCCAGTCCACGACCAAAAGACAAGCGCAGTTTCTTCACGTGTCTCTAGGCTCCATGCGCCTCCTCCAGGTCTCCTGGCTCCATTCTGCTTCCTTCCTCAGTCTCTTCTGCAGCTTCTCTTCTTCCTGCTCAGCTCCACCCTCCCTTGGGTGGGGCAGGGAACCTCCCCCTTTCCTGGGGACCACCCTGTTACAAATCTGCCTGTTCTGTTCCCCACTCTGTCTCTGGTGAATCCTCTCACCTCCCCTACCACCTCTGGCCTGTACCCCAGTTCTTGTATGCATAAATAAATCTTAAAAAAACAACAACAAATAACTGCCTCCCCTCTCCTATTCATAGCTATCTCCCCCACCCCCAACTTTATCCTTTGCCTCCACCCGAAGTACTGTGGTTGATCTCAACACAAAGACATTGCCTCACAAGAAAACACTTTAAGGTCGATGGGTGTGAGCATCTTCTATTTCCTGTCCCCACCCCCCTCCAAACTTGTTTGTATATAGCTCATCAACTTTTCCTGTACCTCACAAGATATTCTTCCTCACATCCAAAGCTAGATCCCTCCAGGAAAAATCCATCTCAGCTCCGTTTTGGCAGTACTTCTGTACTCATTTAAAGGAAAGTGACAGAATCCTAATCCTCGCCAGTTTGAGGAGACAAAAAGGGAACCTTTACCAGCTCACACAACCAGGATTCCCAAAGTTGTATTTTGGGGAATACAATCTTTGGTATTGTATTCTTGTATTCTCTGGCAGTTAGATCCAGGAGATCATGCGATGTCTCCTGGATAATGACACAATTTTTGTGCTTCAGTTTCCTCATCTGTAAAATGGGATATTAACAGCCCCTACCAGGAGGAAAAGCCATCAGAAACCCAGATAGCATTCTTGGTGGCTCTCATCTCTTTTTTATATAAATGACTAATTTCATTGTTTCCTCTGCAACCTGATATTCTTTGTTCCTGAGTCACAAAGAGAAAGTTGCCACCTATAATGCCTCAGCATATGAGTTAGAACTGGAATATTTTTATCTTAATTCTTAAAACTTGAAGGAAAGAATCCATTTGTGTAGCTGGGGTCAGTAATCCATCGCTGTGCCATTCAAGTACAGTGGGAAGAGAAATATCTGATTAAATGTGGCTCTAGCAGGACTACCCCTGAGGACAGCTCGAGCACTACAAGAAGAAAGGGGAATTGGGAGTCAGCCAAACACCCTAAAAAGCTGTCCACTGCTACTGGAGAATGGGTGACCCTGGTCTTCTCTATGTGTAGGAATAACATGGGGAATGAGACTGGAGCCTTCCCCTCAATGTGGATAAAGAACAGTCAAACCTTCCAGGTACATAAGTTTATTCTTTCTTCTATGCCTTAGAGTCCCTGGAGGGTGGAGGAAAGTAGCATGGGGAAGGAGATCAGAGATGCTATTTAAGAAAAAGGACAACAGTGGGAAATCCCTGTGGAGGAAGTACAGAAAGCTGCTGGGGCTCGTTGAGGCCTGTCTTGCAGATTCCATTTGCACAGATCCCAGATCAAAGGGGTGCTGAGCAAAGCCTCTGGAAACCACAAGTGGAAACAAGCCATGGTGTGCGGAATGGGACTTTACAACCCTGGTTTCCCATCTGAGCCCCAGACTTGTGGGAAGACCCCTTTCTGTGTAAATAAGGGAGGTGCTGGCCATACACACCATGCGGCTTTGGGTCACAGAGGCTGAACTGGTCAGCAGGATACACACAGGAATTTCAGGAATCAAGACCAAGTGCAGGATTACAGAGGGACCAGACATCTACCATGTGGTGGCACAAGAGCAGATTCCAAGCCCATCTGTTCTCACCGAAGCAGGAGTCGTCTCTCGCTCCCCAAATGACTAGTTTTAGATTTTATTTTCACTTTCTGTATTGATTTTCTGATTGTATTAAGAAACATAAATAAGAACACAGCTTTCACTTTTTAACATAATAGTGATAATAGTAACAATAGCAAACTCTTAGTGCTTATTATGTGCCAGGCACTGTTCTACGTATTTTATATGTATTAACTTATTTAATCCCCATAACTTTGGAGGTAGGTACTAAGATTACCCTTATTTTACAGATGAGGAGACCAAGGCACACAACTGGTAGTGACACAAGGGATTCTGACCCTGGCAATCTGCTCTTAACCACTCTTAGCACCACTGCTCTCACGCTAACAGTGTGTATTGCTTAGACACTTTTGGAAGCAAGAAATAGCCTTCCACAAAGTTATTTCAAAGAAAGAAGGTGTTATTAAAAGATAAAAGTGGAGCTAAATGAAAGAGATGGAAGCTCAGAAATCTAAAAACAGGCACCATGGTGCAGTCAGGACTTTAGGATTCTGGGAGTGAGGCAATCTAGGGCCCCAAGGTCACTTCTATAGCCTCAGCAGCAAGGTGGAGTACATTCAAGGCTCCCCATTCAAGTCCCTTCATTACTTAGCATTTTTCAGGTTTCTGCTCCATGTCTGCCTTAAACACCGACTTTTTTTTCCCTCAGTTCAATGTCTTTTTTCTCTTTCATCTAAAGCTGCATCAGAATTCTGTCTCACTCATCTCATGGCCTCTGGCTCCTTTCATCTGAAACTTTCAGTTGTTCCAACTCCTAAGTGCCAGATTTCTCCACATTTTCAACGTCATAATTCTGACAGAAAGGAGGCCATCTTTTTGAGACAGTTCAGGCTGTAGGAGGCTGGTCAGACTATAATTTGTCTGTTCTTGAGTATAATATCTTCTACGTCTTATTCAGTCAGCTCAGACCAGGAATGCAATTAGTATAAAACACAGTTACCTCCAGTCACCCTTTTAGGCAGTGAGGCTATGTCCTCAGAAGGGGTCCTCCGTGACGGGCATGTGGAGCTTGGGTCCTGTCCCAGTATCACATTCTCAGGCTTGAACTATTCTCTGCCTCATGGCAGCCCCTACCCTTACCCTCCTAAGGAGAGGGCACTTTCCCCTCTCTTTCTCTAAGTTCTAGAAGTCTGGACTTGTCCATTCCAGTGAGGACAGCAGGTGTAGTCACTGATTCAGACATTGAATCAGTGGAAGGGAAGGGCCAGGAGTCAGCAGAACTGAGTTCTTATAAGCTTGGGACTCATGATGAGACCTCATGGGGCACTTCCTCTCCACTCTCTTGTCTCTGTGATGGGACTTTTCAGTATTTCCTACCAGCCTACAGTAGGACCACGCAGACAGAGTTGACTGCTGCTCACCCAACAGTTATCCACTGTGTTTATTCCATCTCTTCTTCATTGCTTGATGATCTGCAATTGGGTTTGGATGCTTAGGAAAGTAATCCCTTCAAAGTCCCAGGAGGGTTACTTCTAAATGTTCAGGTCAATCATGGTAATTCTATCCTTTGTGCCACTGGTGACTTTGACAACAGACCCATGACACTGCCTTGGCCAGTGTATTAGTGAAAGGGGAAGGGATTCTGAAAAATGACTCTGATAAAAATTAATCTTTGGGGACAAACTCACCTTTTGATTCCATGGCCAGGGCCAGCCACAGCAGTCTCTGAAGAAAACAGGTTATTCTTGGGAAGTTACAGGAAAGCATATTTTGTTCATGGTCAGAACAGGTGGCTTTCATTCAAGTTGGGTATGCAGAAAAGAGAAGATCCTTCATCAGGAATGACATGGGATTCCTGCCCTGGAGTAGAAGGTGGGGATTAAAAAGGAGATTGAGTTAAAAATCTCTAAGTCATGATCAGCCATGGGCAAATAGAATTGTGTGATAATTCTCCTGATTTTCCTTTACTATCATGTTACTTTCACCCCATTTTGCTACTTAAATATTGACCCAGCCAGCTACATCTTTTGCTCATAGGACAGAACATCTGTCTCCCCCTACACCTCTCCTCTTTGCTAACTAGTTAGTACCAGAAGCCAGTTTTAAAATGGCAGTTTTTCTATGGACATCCTGCCCTCTAGTGGATTATGGAGATGGATGATAGCAAAGTGAAAGTCTGGGAATGACTGCTTTCTGGAAGGGGACGTAATCAGGAAACCGGATTTCCTTTGGGGTCTTTCTAGGCTGTTTGTTCAGCAGAAATCAAGTTTAGGGGGCAATGACCCAGCTTGTGAGCGTGGGACTGGTGGGAAGCTGCCTGAAGAATACAACTGCCTAATTTAGGGGTTAGACGTTGCCTGCCTGTTTGAGTTTATTTATCCACATATAGAGAGAACTCATGTTGAGAGTTAAAAAACAAAATTTCCCTGACATATTCATCTTTAACAATTGCCAAAGTGTATCAACTTGTTAATAAGGAATTAGTAAGATGACAAAAGGTTATGGAAATTGACAGATTATATATAATTAGGACACAGAAGATTTACATAAGAAGCTAGTTTAGGGGAACAAAACCTCCCTACCTATGTGGAGATTGCATTTCATTGCATATGTTAACAAAAGGTCATTTCAGTTCAGTTTCCATTACAACAGAAGAAACAGATGAAAAGGGTTTTTGATACCGGGGTTTGATCTCAATCAGAGATTAAAAATACATTACATCTAAGAAGCAAATCATCTGTGACTGCTCTATCTGTAATGCTGGTTTCATTTCTCAAGAAAAGCATCTGATGATCTGATGGTCATGATGCATAAACCAAAGACATAGCAGCAAAGAACAAGTTTTGACTTAAAATAGGCCACCTGGTATCAGGGATTTTCTCAAGCAGTAGTCAATGCAAATATACTACAGTTTACACTCCTCACCCCAACCCCTGACACCTTTTATCCTTTAGTTTAGAGGTTTGTTTGTTCTTTTATATTTAAAGAACAAGTTTATTAGGGAAAGGGACAAAAGAGTAAAAGACTTGCATAGACACAAGCAGGCAGGAAGAGCTGTCCCAGGAGGGACAGGTTTGCGGAGAGAGGCCCGCATGGTTGCAGGCAGGTGGCCTTGAAAAGGGCTGCCTCCACTGAGGGAGGTATTTTTCCTCTGAAATTAGAATGTGCAAAGATTAAATTTTTTCACATAAGTTAAATTTTCAGATAACTGACCTTTGCATCTTTAGCTATGCGACTTTTCTCCTTGAAATTAAAAATACAGGGCCTCCCTGGTGGCGCAGGCAACCGGTTGAGCGCAGCGCTGTGAAACTGTTCGCAGCCTGTGCAGTGCCGGTTTGATACCTGCCTGCCTGCGAGAATCCCACATGGTGCAGCAGACCTCTCCTGTCTCTCGCGATGGTCCTCTCTGCCTGTTCTGTTCCCTGCTCTGTCTCTGGTGAATCCTCTTAAACACCCCCCCCCCGCATCTCTGACCTGTACCCCAGTTCTTGTATGCATAAATAAATAAATCTTTAAAAAAAAACACAAAGGTTAAAAATATAGAGTTAAAAAAATATAATAAGAGCTTGGAGTCACTAGGTTGGAATCACTTCTGATGGAAATCACCACAAAGCGTTTATAGTACTATTAGGCTCAAGGCCCAGATATTTTGTAACACTTTCTCTGGTATCCTAAAATTCATATACAATGTAATAATTGCATAATTAAAATTCATGTAATGCTTGCTATATAGGCATAATAAAAATAAATTCATTTGTTACAAAATATAGTAATATATACTTAAATATTCAAATCCTTGGGCATTAGTAACAAAGGCAATAAAGCAATGAGATGCTTGCATCTATGTATAATGAACAAGTTTAGATTTAATAGGAGTCATAACAATTGATGCCATGAAATAGGAACAAAGATGTATGTGACACCAAACTAAAACCTAGTTTTAAGTAACTATGGCAAAGACATCTTTGTATAAGCAAAACAGGAAAGTAATCTTTTTTTAAATATTTATTTATTTATTTAATATTTTATTTTATATAACTCTTACATCATTTTTCATCTTTGTACAATGTATGCATTTTCATTTTGGTTATATTCCCCATACAATTGCACCCCCCCCTTATTTTGACTCTAGTTCTTCCTCTCCCACCCCTTCCTAATCCCCCCTCCCCAACCAGTGTGTCTCTGGTTTATAGTTGCTTGTTGATTTTGATTATTACTTTGCATTGATTAGTCTTTTTCCTGGTCTCTTATTTAGGTTTTCTAAATTCCTGCTATGAGTGAGACCATCGGTATTTTTCTTTTGCTCAGGAAAGTAATCTTAATTGGAAGCAGAAAAACAAGTAGTAGATAGAGAAAATGAAGGTATATGCTATTGTTGAAAATGAGCTGGGCCTCCTTTTCCAGGAAGGTGTTGGGATTTTCTATGTTGTGTCACGGCATGGTAAAGTGAAAGAATTTCTCAGAAATCATACACCGACTTAGCTATCTCACCACATACTGGAGCAAACATTTAGATTCTAAGGTTTTCTATTTTTTTATTTTTGCATAGAAAATTGGGGTGTAGGCCAGAAGTGTGGGGGCGGGGGGAAGGGGGACTGCTGGGGGATGCTGAGTAGATTCACCAGAAACAGAGAGGGGAGAACAGGCGGATCCACCTGAACACAAGCTGAGAGGAGCAGTGAGCAGGACAGTAGAGAACTGCTGCGCCATGTGGGTTAGCTCCCCGGCCCAGGGGATCAAACCCAAGGTGTGGTGGCTGTGGTCCGACTGTGCCGCCTTTAGCCCCTGCGCCATCAGAGAGGCCCGCTACAAATATTTTTTAAGTTTATATGGGATGGAAAAAAAAAATTCAAACTAGTCTATATTGATGAAATTCATTCACATCTTAACACTTTGGATCTATTAATTAAAAAAAATATGGTTAAAAGTCTATTAATAGGAGTCTCAAATATACACATTTATATTTGGTTTCATTGCTTTTCCAGTAACTGCACAATTGCCCGAAACAGTATGAAACTACCCAGTGGGAAAATTTATAAATAATGTAGCTCTTTCCAAGAAGTGGGTATGCAAATTCTAAAGGGGCCCCAAGCTTTTCATATTTAGATCCACTAAACTGTGTTTTGGCTTCAAAGCATTTTTTGCTTATTTATGAACTTAGCTCTTCCTGCAGATGTTGCCTAGTGTTTTCTGGTCTCATGTATTAATCTCCCCATCAAGTACTACAAATTCAATCCTACCTTTAAATCTAAGCAGTTAACTGCACAGAATGAGAGCAAAATGTCCAAAGGAGCGCTTCTCTGCAGAAATCTTCCTTTAGGAAGAAAAGACTACAGAATTCGTAGAAACAGCCGCAAAACTTCCGATTATTGACAACCCCTCAAGGCTCCGCCCCTCACGTATTTACGTCCCTCTTCCGCCTCCAGACCGGGAGTCGGCGTCGAGCGGAAGTGACGCAACGCGGCCGCCGGAAGTGTCGTTTGTGTCGCGCGCTTGGGCCTAAGGTTGGAGTGGGGCCTGCGCCCGGAAAGATACCGCTATGTCGATCGAAATCGAGTCCTCGGAGTGAGTCCTGCGGTGGCGGATATTCGCCAAATTGCGGTGGGCGGGCGTTGAAGGGTGTGGGGTGGAAGGTGCTCAGGGAGGGAGCCCGAGAGATGCGGAGTGGAGGGGCATTTCCTGGTCCACAAGGAAGCTTCGTGGACCTGGCTACCTCGGAGGCGGGTCCTTGAGAAAGTCGCAGCTCTGGGACCAGGAGCCCAAAGACCCGGGGGAGGCGCTGGGGAAGAAAAGACCTTGAGGATCTAAATACGTCGGGCCGTCACCGACCCCGGGTGCCCACCCACTCTGATTTCAGTGTGTTGTGCAAAGGGGGTTGGACGCTAAGTCCTCCTTCTCGCCTTGCCTCCCTTAGGCAGCGTGCTTCAGTTCCTCCTCTGCTTACAGGGTCCCGTTACTTTCTGCCCAGCACGTGTCTATTTAAATAAATTGTTTAACCGCCCTTCCAGCCTGAGTTTGCACTTAGGCATACTTTTCCATATAGTCCTGGTGCGTGCCTTCGGAATGAATTAAGGATTAGTTATTTGATCAGACTATCTGGTGCTGAATTTTGGTTAGTCTTTGAGCTCTGTGTAGCTTCAAAGGTGAGATGGAATCTGAAGATTGGGCTAGAAAAGGGGTAGGGTTTGGTTTTTTTTTCCCCCCCGTGGGGAGGGAGACTAATGAGTGACTAAAGGTCTTTAGAACTTCTTCAGGACTCTACACCCCACCCTCCACCTTGTCCTTGCCATCACTTACTAAATCATAAGACATAACATCTGTGCCCTGAATATAAATGAGAGGAACTCTCCTGTGGATTTGCCATAGGAAGAAGGGAGGTTTACTCTTTTCAACAAGTATTGAAGAGTAGTGTCTGCTATTCTAGACCGTGGAAATACAGTAGTGAACAAAACAAGACAAAAATCCCTGTTCTTATAGAATGTGCTTTGTGATTGGTAAAATATAACAAGCAATAAGTAAAATATGCGACTTAACAGATGGTAAGTATGGTGGAGAAAAATAAAAAGTGTGATAGAGTGTGCTGGCAATTAGGACAACTAATCTAGGAGGTGTGCTGAATAATAGCTGACACCAACTATTCTTCCAGCCTTGTGGTGCTGCCTGATTTTATCATCAATAGTAGATTTTGTTTTTTAAGCGCCCCCCCCCCCAGGCACACTATAAGTATTATAGTCAACCCTATAGGTATTACAAGCTAGGTATTTTTCTTAATAGATGAGGGAATAGGTTACAGATATATTAACCGACTTGCCCATAGTCAGAGTAACAGAACTCTTAAGTCAAATTCCAGCCCATCCCAAAAACTTTCAGCACTTTTTGTATTACATTGTGTTTGATGGAAATAAATGTGATTTTGGCTATGTCAAATATGAGATGTCTGCAGGGAGATTTAAGGAAGTGCAAATGGAAGTAGTATGTTATTAGAATAGCAGGGATCTAAGCCTGGTTATCTCCTAAGGAGGGCTATGAGAGAAAAGACGCTGTGAGGAGCAGTAATCACTTCTGCAGGAGTTTTAGAAGAGGGTCTTTGCTTTCCTGTTAGGAGTATGTGCTCACATACTCCTGTTAGTATGTGCTACCAGCTGAATCTTCATTTTTCCACTGTTAACTTGGCCAAGTCCTTGTTTGTAAAATGAAAATGAAATAATACTTCTTAGTTTATTTTGAAGAATAAATTAATCAGTACATCTGAAATGCTCAGAATAATACCTGGTATATAATAAACAGTCAATACTGGTTATTGTTTTATGATTATTATTTCTCCTCTGGGAAAGGGAATTGGGTCAGTTCCAATCTATAATCCCTTCGGACTAAGACAATCTGATCCACTACACAAATACTGTCCAATTGGAAGTCAGTGTGAGCCACATATGTAATTTTAAATGAAGAGAAGGAAAACTAGTGCATCATGGCACCCTACAGTGAACTGTTAAAATCTATATGAACATATTCCTCAGACTCATGATTGTGCCCACAATCAAGAAGTATTAACTGAATATAAACAACTCATAGTTTTATGTCGCATGTTGAATATTATTGCTTTTTTTCACATTTGGAAATTGTGTCCTCTTTCTTGAAAACTGAAACAACAGTGTTTTAATTTCACTTGTTTTGAAATTTTGGTAACAGTGGATAGGTGATATTTTTGCCAGTGAGGACACAGCTTTGTTTTGCTTTTCCATGGAGTATATTCAACAAATCCCCACTAAAAATCTCAAGTTTTTGATTATCATTTAAAAAATGAACCAAATCATCCTACAGTAATTTATATGTTTTGTTGGTGACTATGCTAGATTTAAAATCTTTCATCAAAGTGAAACTATAATATATAAATTAATAAGATCTTAATGATAAGATCTCTGGCATTAGAAGTAAAAGAATCATTTTGGTACTGTAGTTGACTGTGAGGTACTGGACAATTATTTCTCTTCTTTCTCTTTTTTTTTTAAATATTTATTTATGCATACAAGAACTAGGGCACAGACCAAAGGTACAGGGTATGAGAGGACCCACCAGAGACAGAATGAGGAACAGAACAGGTGGATTGACTAAAGTATGCTGCTGAGGGGAGCAGCGGGCAAGGCAGGAGCTGCACCATGTGGGTTGCTCCCTGGCCAACCGGGGATTGAACTCGTGCTGCAGTGGCTGCGGTTAGCTTCATAGGTTGCATCTCAACCCCTTGCGCCACCAGGGAAGCCCCTATTTCTCTTTTCTGAACCCCAAATCGCTTATTTCTGAGATGAAGGTAGGGCTGAATTATCCCTGAGTCCTTTATAATTTAGATTTTTTTTTTTTTTTTTAAAGAAAGTTTCACTTAAAGAGTAAAGAAACGGAAAGTAGGTAGTGAGAGGAGGATTGTTGAGTTGGGGAAATAAATGGGGATGGGCTTTACTTTGTGGTTTCTTCAGTGAGGGAGAATCCCTGAGCTGGATTACTTTTCTTTCTTTCTTTTTTTTTTCAGTGTGATCCGTCTTATCATGCAGTATCTGAAGGAAAACAGTTTACATCGGGCATTAGCCACTTTGCAGGAAGAGACGACTGTGTCTCTGAATACCGTGGACAGCATTGAGAGTTTTGTGGCTGACATTAATAGTGGCCATTGGGATACAGTTTTACAGGCTATACAGTCTCTGAAATTGCCAGACAAAACCCTTATTGACCTCTATGAACAGGTAAGAGAAGGTGATGCTGATCCCGTGGGTGGTTTATTGCGGGGTCCACTCAGTAATAGCCCTTAAAACCTATGACTGTGGAGTCATGGGTGCTACTTTGTATTCTCCTTGGTAAAGCCAAGATTTTCCAATATTTTTTAAAGTGTTTTTATTTTTATTTTTTTAAGATTTATTTATACGAGAACTGGGGTACAGGCCAGAGGCACGGGAGGGTGACAGAACTCACCAGAGACAGAGCGGGGAACAGAACAGGTAGACGACTGAAAGACACTGCTGAGGGAAGCAGCGGGTGAGACAGGAGAGGTCTGCCACGTCATGTGGGTATCTCCCTGGCCGGCCGAGCATCGAACCCACGCTGCAGAGGCTGTAGACAGCTTCACAGCGCTGAGCTCAAACTGCTGTGCCACTGGGGAGGCCCTGAAATAATTTCTAAAGTGATCATTAAATCAACTATATCTGACACTACCTCATGTACTGCAGTTAAGTTCTGGTACTAAACTACTCAGAGTAACATGTATCTTACAAGTTAAGGGCTTGTTCTTTCACAGACTACTCTTACTTCAGAAACAACTGCACTTTGGGGTCTCAGTCCAACTGCATTTCTGATCAACTGGTTATAACTGGCAATCAACTTGACTGCCTCAGAATTGGTTATTCACTAGAATGACTCACAGAACTCAGGCAAGCACTATAGTATGATTACCATTTTATTATAAAGGATATAGGTCAAGACTAGCCATGTGATGAGATCCAGGGTGAGATCCAGGTAAATGCAGGGTACCCAATACCTTCTTCCCATGGAATCAGGCTACCTCTCCCTAGAACATTGATGTGTTCACCAACAAGGAAGCTCCACTGAGGTTTTTATTGGCGTTCCATTCAATTTCTAACTTCCCAAATACTCCCTGGAGGTTGACTGTCTCAAAAATCTCAACCCTCTAATCATGTGGTAACCCTCTGCTTTCCTCACTTTGCTCCTTAGACAAACTAAGGTGATGCAAAGGGTTCATGAATAACAGATACTCCTTAACTGGGAAAATTCCAAGATTTTTAGAAACTCCATGCAGGAAACCAGGACAAAGACAATGGAAATTTAATATACAACAGAATAGAGGGGACTTTCTGGAAATAATGTAGTGTTATTTGAAGTACAAATAAGTGAAATTGGTTTGTTTCTTTACAATATATTTTAGTTCAGTAATTCCCCCCCCCAAATTTTTTGGTAATTTAAGAAAGGTTTCTCTGGAGCCCATGGAGAGATTCCCATCTTTAGTTTTCTTCAACATCCATATTCTGAACAAGAGGCTTGAGAGGAAAGGATATCAACAGATAAAAATGCAGGATGAAAGTGGAGGTATTGAAGTTATTGCTTATAATACTTCACTAGTCTGCCTGAAATTGTTTGTAAAAAGGAGGGGCATTTCCTGAGATTGGAAATCACTTTGGTCATTTCTACAACAGAAATTGTACTAGAAAAGAAAAAAATCAGTACAGATTTTTTTTTATGTAATCACTGGTTTATTTAATGACCTGCATTTTGCATTTTACTCCATTTATTGTCACCTGCAGCAACCATGGTGGAGATTCTTTTTTTGTTTGTTTTGTTTTGTTTTACATCATTGTTCAATTTTAAACAATATTTGCTTCCCCTGCCCCAGGTGTCATCCCCATAGAATTTCCTTCACCAATACACCTGTGCACATCACCTCAGTCCCCTGTGTTCCTCCTTCCCTCCCTCTGATCCCTCTCCCTCCTCTTCCCCTGCAGGATGTCTGGTTTATAATTGTCTGTTTTTGTTTTATTGTGTTTTGATTATTTTTTTTACACTGAAAAGTCAGTACAATTTTCAATGTGTAAATTATTAATAGGAAAATGCATAGAAAACAGCCCTTTTCTTTCATTTATGCAGGTGGTTCTGGAATTGATAGAGCTTCGTGAATTGGGCGCTGCTCGGTCACTTCTGAGACAGACTGACCCCATGATCATGTTAAAACAAACACAGCCGGAGCGATATATCCATCTGGAGAACCTCTTGGCCAGGTCTTACTTTGATCCTCGTGAGGTATGACTGTGGTAACTTTGAAATTATGATATAATATGATTTTTTTTCAGTTTTATTGGCTACTTCTATGATTCTGATTTAGTTTTTCAGAATGATTCTTTTCTGTTTATGTTGACTGGAATTTATATATGTTAAAGACATATGTTGTCAGTGTTCTGTATTTGAGGGTCATCAGTCCCCCGAACACATTTTAGAGATGTGTCTTGATTAGTAAAGAAGCAAAATTTTATCTTGAGATTATTTCCACATTAACCCTGTACTTATCTGGCCCTGAAGTGCTGCCTGGTTGGTATGTTCGCTGTGTATACCTTTGCCCCTAACAATTACAGTGTCTGCCCAGCTCTTTTAGTTCTTAGAAGTTCATGCTTTTGCTTTGCAGCCAATTTTGCTTACTGGTAGAGCATGGTGATTGATGCTCTTAGTTCTTCCAAAACCTTATTATATGTAGTGTTTCATTCTTTCTCACCCTGCCTTTTACTAGAGGCTTGTCTAATAGGAGGAAGAAGAATTTGATAGGCATTGAATGGTGCAAAGTAAAATCACAGAAAGTATGAGGCCAAGGGGAAGGAGATTGGAATATCAGGACAGACTTTAAGTTAGAGATGGTGAAGAACTTCTGACCTGGGAGTCTAGAGAGAGAAAGAAATTACCAAAGAATATAAAAATCCTTAGCTCTGCAGATTTTTGAAAAACTAGAAAGACAACTATTGTTAACATGGGTTACTGGAACTCTTTTTAGAAATAACAGTGTGGATTGGCTTACCTCAGTTCTTTCCCAGCTTATACTTTAAAAATGCAAAAGTTTAGAATTGGGAAGTTGTTTTAAGAACTAATTGATTAAACTGATCCTGTTTTTTTTTTTTTTTTAAGATTTATTTATTTATGCATACAAGAGCAGGGGTACAGGCCAGAGGTGTGGGGGAGGCCATGAGAGGATTCACCAGAGACAGAGTGGGGAACAGAACAGGCAGACTGAGTGAAATACAGTGCTGAGGAGAGCAGTGGGCGAGTCAGGAGAGGTCTGCTGCACCTTGTGGATTGCTCCCTGCCTGGCCGGGAATCGAATGTGTGCTGCAGTGGCTGCGGATAGCTTCATAGGTTGCATCTTAACCCTTGCACCACCAGGGAGGCCCTAAACTGATCCTGTTTAACTGGTTAGTTTCTTACATGTTTTCCTTGTCGACTATTTCTTCTTGATGTTGTTTTTAAGTAAACATACTTATATGTCCTAGCTGCTTTTTGGAAATGATGCTAGTAGCCCCTCTCCTTTTTTAGGCATACCCTGACGGAAGCAGCAAAGAGAAGAGAAGAGCAGCAATTGCTCAGGCCTTGGCTGGGGAAGTCAGTGTGGTGCCTCCATCTCGTCTCATGGCATTGCTGGGACAGGTAATAAAATGCCTGAGGAACTGAAATTACCCTGGATTTCTGTTTCTTATATATAAACTGTATATATGAACTAAAGAAATCAGACATCTAAGGGTTGGATACTCTCTGTGGAGCTGCTTGTACCGACAGCTGTGCCAGGCACCCTTCCTCTTCCTTAGGAGATGTGGTAGAAATTAGTATTTAGAGCACAGGCTGTACTGTCACTTAGCAGTAGGATGACTATAGAGTGTATCCTCCTGTTTGAGATACTCTGAGGGCACTGATGATCATCTGCCAGGATACTGTCCCGGGCAAATTGGAACAGAGGCTCACCCTCGTTAGAATCTCAGCTCTACCCAGCTGTGTGGTCTGGGCTATGTTACCTAACTTTTCTAATCTCATTTTCTCATCAAGGTTTTATAGTAAGGATTAAGTGAAATGACACATATAAAACATTTCTTAATTTGCCTAGCACCTTGGTGAACACTCAGTAAATGGTAGCTACTGGTGGTGATTCTTTTACTAGCATTGTCATTATTATTCATAAAGCTACTTAGAGTAATAGATATTTTTATAAATAGCACAGGGCACAAATGGCTAATTGAGATGTAGACAGCCTCTTTGCACTAAATTTGTATTTGGAAAAAGGCCAAAAGTTATTTGTTACAGGTTGGCAACGATTCTGAGATTTAAGATTAAGCTAATTTTTAAAATTTTTTTTTAAATTTCTTTTTTTTTTTATTTATGCATTCAAGAACTGGGGTGTAGGCCAGAGGTGAGGTGGGGGTGGGAGGAGGATTCACCAAAGACAGAGTAGAGAGCAGAACAGGCAGATCTACTGAAACACACTGCTGAGGGAAGCAGCAGGTGAGAAAGGGGAGGTCTGCTGCACCATGGGTGTTAGCTCCCTGGCCAGGGCTCGAACTCATGCTGCAGTGGCTGGTGATATCTTGATCTTGCTAAGACTTTAACCCCTATGCCATTAGGGAGACCCTCTGAATATAATTTTTAATCAAAGTAATAACTGCATAGCTTTAGTAGTACTTTGAGCCTTATAATGAAAAGGAGCCACATCTGCCCTTGCCCTCTTGTGATTTTTACTTTCCACAGTTATATCTACCTCTCAGTGATTTGTTCTCAGTAGCTAAATAACATGCATGTACTATTGCAGCTTGATTTTTTTTTTAAAGACATTAACTATTAGCTTCCTTTTGTGGAGGAGTATCTCATACCCACTTCCCATAGCATTTACACATTGTTCTTCCTCTAGATTTTTTTTTTTTTTATTAAAGATTTATTTATTTATTTATTTATACAAGCACTGGGTACAGTCAGAAGCGCGGGAGGGTGAGAGAATTCACCAGAGCCAGAGCGGAGAGCAGAACAGGCAGAGTGACGAAATACACTGCTGAGGGGAGCAGCGGGCGGCAGGAGAGGTCTGCGCGCCATGTGGGACCCTTGCCTGTGGCCAGGGATTGAATTGGCGCTGCAGAGGCTGCGGGCAGCTTTGCAACCCAGTGCTCAACCGCTGCGGCACCGGGGAGGCCCTCTTCCTCTAGATTTTAATTACAGTACAACTTTTGGTTAAATCAGTTTAATGTTTACATTATTATCTTTACAAAAGTATTCCTCATAGTCCCACAATATTTGCATTTAGTTTCTTACATAATTTTATGGTTCCTTTTGATTGATTTTTTATTATTATTATTATTATTTTGCCGAGCTTTCTGTGTACCTTTTGCTAATTCAGTCTGAGTCTTTCAATAAATCTCAACTGTAAAGTTCCTTTTCACGACCCTCTCTGGGGCCCTTCTCTCCTTTGTTCCCATCAGAATTTTTAGGTTGTTTCTCAGTTATTGTACTGGGTCATATTTTTTAAATCATATCTATAAGATAGATTCTTGTTATTAAAAAAAAGATTTTTTTTAAAGATTTATTTATGCATACAGGAACTGGGGTACAGGCTAGAGGTGTGTGTGTCGGGGGAGTGGTGGTGGTGGTGAGAGGATTCACTGGAGACAGAGTGGGAAACAGAATAGGCAGACTGACTGAAATACACTGCTGAGTGGAGCAGCGGGTGAGACAGGAGAGGTCTGCTGCGTCATGTGAGTCACTCCCTGGCAGGTGATCGAACTCATGCTGCAGTGGCTGCAGATAGCTTCATAGTGCTGTGCTTAACCTGTTGCGCCACCAGGGAGGCACTGTAAGATAGATTCTTTTGGACTAATAAGCCTCTCCAGATTAGTTTCCTAGTTTCCTGCCTGGAGAGGTTTAAACTATGTCCTGAAATTAGAGGACATAGTTTAAACTGCTGGAAGTGGAGATTAGAGAACTCTTTAGCGTATCAGTTTGTTCTGGCTCCGTGTTTCACTGTGACATTTCACTAAAGACCTCCCCCTCAGTTGTACCTTGGTTCCCAGAGTCCAGAATCATTCCCTTTCTATAACAGAAAAAAAACCACCTGATATCTCTTGAGGATAGGTTGAGAGAAGTGGTGGGAACTAACTACTCTTCATTCACATTTTATCATTGCCTTTTGCCATGCCTCATCCTTGAGGGGTGTATGGTACCTCCAGTTTCTAAGCCTTTTTGGAATTTGTGAGATAATTCGGCTCACTTCTTGTGGCTTCCTCATAGGTTTCATTTTTTTCTCTGTTCTTGCTTGCCACTGGTCCATTCGCTTTTTTTCCCCCAAAGATTGATTTATTTTTATACAAGAGCTGGGGTACAGGCCAGAGGCTTGGGAGGGTGAAAGGATTCACCAGAGTCAGAGCGGGGAGCAGAACAGGCAGACGACGGAAATACACTGCTGAGGGGAGCAGCGGGTGTGACAGGAGAGGTCTGCCACGCCATGGGGGAATCTCCCTGCCTGGCTGGGAATTGAACCCGTGCTGCAAAGGCTGCAGACAGTTTCACAGCACTGCGCTCAAACCCTGCATCACCGGGGAGGCCCTGGTCCATATGCTTTTCCGCTTGTAAAATTAACATTTTCTTTTCAGCAATTATATCTTTCATTCTCTTTGTCTTTTGGGATATATACCTTTTTTATTCCTTTGTTGTCACTATAGTGGAGTATCTAGAGAGAGTAGAAATGAACTCAATGTTCTCCATGTTTAAATGGTGAGACGCTATAGGCAACACTTAAAGTGAATAGGGTGGACAGAGAAAGGATAAAGGATTGGTCAGAGAAACAAAAAGGGAAGCCAAGAGAACTGGGTTAGAAAAGCCAGGAGAGGAGTTTTAAGAAGATGAGTGTTCACCAACTTCAGAGCAAGTGAGAATATGAAGATTAGAGTCAGAACGCAATCTGGTTTTGGCTGTTGGAATATCTAAGATGCATTTGCAGTGGAAAGGGTTTTTTTTGTTTTTGTTTTTGTTTTTTTTGTTTTTTTAAATGGGAGTGACTTGAAACTACAGGTAGACAGCCAAGTTTATGCTGATTGGAGAGAGGGGCTCTGAGCAGATGAATGTTCTCTGGTTATTGCTAAAATTTGAAAAATAAGTAACATGAATTTTGGAGGCAAATAAAAGAAATAATTAGAAATATTCAGTATTTTAATTATGATAACTAAACACATGTAAGGTAAATATTCTAGAAGATAATATATAAGATGTTAGAGTGACTGCTTGGATATCAGAACTATGGGAGATTTGTTCTCTAAATTTTATTCATAATAAAAGAGTCACGCTTTTTTTTTTTTTTTTTTAAGATTTATTTATACGAGAACCAGGGTATATGCCAGATGTGTGGGAGGGTGAGAGGATTCACCAGAGACAGAGTGGGGAACAGAACAGGCAGACTGATGAAATACACTGCTGAGTGGAGCAGCAGGCAAAACAGGAGAGGTCTGTTCGCCTTGTGGGTTGCTCTGAGGCCGGCAGGGATTGAACCAGCACTGCAGAGGCTGTGGACAGCTCCCCAGCGCTGTGCTTAACCGCCTGTGCCACCAGGAAGGCCCCACACTTTTTTAAAGCCCCACTTTTTTTTAAGAGTATAGTATGGGGGGCCTCCCCGGTGGCGCAGCGATTGAGTGCTGGGTTGTGAAGCTGCCCGCGGCCTCTGCGGCGCCGGTTTGATCCCCGGCTGCTCCCCGGCCACCGGAGGAGGGTCCCACATGGCGCGCAGACCTCTCCTGCCGCCCGCTGCTCCCCTCAGCAGTGTACTTCGGTCCTTCTGCCTGCTCTGCTCCCCGCTCTGGCTCTGGTGAATTCTCTCACCCTCCCGCGCTTCTGACTGTACCCAGTGCATGTATAAACAAAAACAAAACAAACAAACAAACAAATAAATAATACATGCCTCTTTAAAAAAAAAAAAAGTATAGTATGGGAAAGATGGACCTGGTCTCAGGCTGTGTTCCTAGAACCCACAGAGAAGCACAGATTCTGTAGTGTTTAGATGGTCAGAAATGGTGGCGTCTGCATGGCTTTAAGTTTCCTGTGAACCTCATTCTTTTGAACTTTGAGCAATCAAGACCAGATCTTAAAAACACCGAGTGGATCGCTATACATTTCTTTTTTCATAGGCACTGAAATGGCAGCAGCACCAGGGGTTGCTTCCTCCCGGCATGACCATAGATTTGTTCCGAGGTAAAGCAGCTGTCAAAGATGTGGAAGAAGAAAAGTTTCCTACACAGTTGAGCAGGCATATTAAGGTAGGATCCTTACCTGGTCAGTAATGTGCTTGTTCAGTGCCTGCTGTGCCAGGAGTGTGGGTTGGGAGCAGAACTCATTCTCCAGTTCTGACAGCATTTGGGGTTGCTGCTAATAACCACTGGGTTTGGATTCCTGTGGCCTGGCAGTGGCACACCTCTACTGTATACCCAGGTGGACAGATATTCAGCATTGAGCCCATTATCCACCCCAGTACTTCCTCCCAGGAAGCCTGCATTTGGAAGAATGCTCAACAGTGGTTGAGCCTGGGACTGTGAGTGTCTCTGTGTTTGTCCTGCTTGACACTTACTTGGTTCTTTGTTTGCTGCATGTCAGGTTTCGTACCAAGCATGGATTTTAAAATGTGCTTATGTGGGATTTGAGGAAAATAATTTTATCAATTGATGATCGGTTCTTGCTTTTTGATTTTTAAACCTTAAACTTTTCTAAGGAAATATCACAAGCAAGTAATTGCAGCAGTTGTCAGAATTACAAGTATTTGCTATTTCAGCATTTCCTTTATTACACGTAGCTTGTGGGTTTATGCTTTAATCGAATTCATGGATTTCAAAATATTTCATGTTCTTCAACTCTTTGATTTAGTGTTTTGAATTAGTCTGTTTGGATTTTATGTTCTGACTTACATGTGAAGATATTTTTGAACAGTCCCTTTATTTACCTTAGTTGAAGCATTGAGACAAATGGAAGTCCATTATAATTTTTCTGTGTTCTCATCTATGTGATGTTCTGTAGTTTTCATCTGTTACTGGGAGCTTCACTGTTGGCAAATGCTCAGGATATATTTACTAATCAAACAGTGTATCAGCTTTAATTAGTCCTACAGTAAGTGAGTCATTGATTAAATGAAAGTCCTGGGGTAAAAAACAGATGAAAAAAAATAGTGTAGGAAAGGCAGGTATTTTATTGTGAGAAAAGGAAAGTTTTTTGCCCAGATGCACAGCAGGAATGTATAATTCTCTATTGAGTGTGGAAGTCATGTTAACAGTGACTGGTTCTAGTAAAAACTTAACTTGATTTAATTTAAGGGTTATTCTAAGTCCCACATTAAAAATTTTTTGCTTCTCTTTGGAAATGTCACTTTCATTTTAAAAATAAAAACTAGTTTCAACTGAAAGCTTAGGAATAAGACTCATGAGAGAATATAATGGTGCCCCTCTCTGTATTGGTATAGAAATGCTCCCCCAATACTCATAATATAGGCTAACTATGGCTTTATTCTAAGGCAGACCTCCTCTAAAGATTAAAATGAGATTTTTTTTAAAGTACAATAGATAAAAATAATATCTGTTTCATTGTTTCATTTGAAACAGTTTGGTCAGAAATCACATGTGGAGTGTGCTCGATTTTCTCCAGATGGTCAGTATCTAGTCACTGGATCTGTTGATGGATTCATTGAAGTATGGAACTTTACGACTGGAAAAATTAGGAAGGTAAAGTATTTAAAGTACAATCATTTTTGTAGTGGGAGAATTATCTTTTATTGTTTTTTAATGGTTACTTCTGCATTTAAATTTATTTTTAAATGGAAATATGTTCATCTGATAGAATATTTTATAAAACTTTCTGGCTCCCACCTTTGTCCCTTAGTTGGTCAGTTCCCTTCCTTAGTTCAGTCAGAGTTACCAGTTTTTTATGTAATCTTCCTGGAATTTTCTATGTGTAGGTGATTCATTATTAATTATTTTCAATCTAACTTTATTGTAATTGTGTTTCTATTGTGAATGAAGTTGAATATATTTTTTTAAACATTTATTTATTTATGCATACAAGAGCTGGGGAACAGGCCAGAGGTGTGGGGGGTGAGAAGATTCACCAGAGACAGAGTGGGGAGCAGAACAGGCAGACTGACTGAAATACACTGCTGAGGGGAGCAGCAGGCGAGACAAGAGAGGTCTGCTGCACCATGTGGGTTGCTCCCTGGCTGGCCGGGGATCGAGCGCGTGCTGCAGAGGCTGCGGACAGCTTCATAGGTTGTGTCTTGAATCTCTTGTGTCACCAGGGAGGCCCATCTTTTTAATAATGAAAAACCACCAGATTTTCCTATTCTGAGAAGTCTGTTAATCTCTTTTGCCCATTTTTATTTTGAATTGTTTCTTACTGATTTGTAGCTCTTGATTTGAAGAAATCAGCTTTCATAAAATATGTATTGCAAATGTTTTTCAATTTTGTCTTTTGACTTTTCTTTATAGACAAACATACTTTGTTCATTTTTGCCCATAATATCTTCTAGTACATTTGTTTTTTATTGTGTTTATTTTTTTAATTAAATATATTTATTTAAATATATATTTTACATCATTGCTTATCTTTGTGTAATATTTGATTTTTTCCTCTCAGGTGTAAGCCCCATAAAATTTCCACAGCCAAGTTACCTGTGAACCGTCACCATAGTCTCTTGTGCTTTCCCCTCCCCTGTTTTGATCCCTTTTCCTCTCCTTCCCCTGCTGTATGTCTCTGATTTATAGTTTGCCTGCTAGTTTTGTCTCTTTATGTTTAATTTTTAATACATCTGAAATTTCTTTAGGGGCATAGTGTTGATATAGAGCCAGCTTAAACCCTCTCACCACAACATAGCTATTTTATTGTTTACCTATTGATTTAAAATGTAATTTTACCCTAGAAGTACTAAATCCCACTCCATGGGTGAGTGGATGTATGGGTTATTTTCACATTCTGTTTTATATGTTTCTTTATAGTTTGCTTTAAAAAAACAAAAACCCATGAAGCAATCTTACTTTATAAGTAGAAAAAGTAAAGATAGATCACAAATAGATTAGTCAATATATGGTTTTAGGAAAAGTAGCTGACAGTTTGGGAAAACATTAGTTTCTCATGTCCTACCCCTAAAATAAACGAATTCAGATTAATTTTAAGATATACAGTATGGAACTGGGGAAATCTTTGCCCAGAAATGATCAATAAGTGAAAGATACAGGATATTATGCTGACATTTTTACAGTATTAATTTGAATTGTGTAAAATTCTCTATTCCCAGCATTATCAGTTGTTCATTAAGAATGTGTGTATGGCACCGCTATTTGCTTTGAGATTTAGAGTAGGTATAAGTATTGTACTGCTTTTAGTGAGTTTGTAGAGATCTGGTGTAACTGGCTTTGGCCTTTGTGTTATTTTGCTAACTGTTACTGTTCATCACTGTTTGCTTTAGGATCTTAAGTACCAGGCGCAGGATAACTTCATGATGATGGATGATGCCGTTCTTTGCATGTGTTTCAGCAGAGACACAGAGATGTTAGCAACTGGGGCCCAAGATGGAAAAATCAAGGTGTGGCTTAGTGGCTTGTATTAGATATTTTGAGAGTTCTGTAATGAGGCAGTGTCCTCCCAAACTGGTCAGCTTAATAATAGCTGTTTATTAAACATCAACTTTATGCCGATCACTTTACCTTTTCTTGTTTAGTCCTAACTGAGAATTTCCAATAATTTGCTTAAGGTCACACAGTTCAAAAGTGATAGATCAGGAAGTTGAGTTCAGATCTACTCATGCCCTTTCTACAGTGCTCAACTGCGTGATGTGTTGTACTTTTGTTTTTTGTAGAGGATGTGCTTCTGATTAGCTGTGGCTTGTATTTAATTGCTGGTAAATGCCCTGGGCTGGATAAATTACAGAAATGGCCTCTGCTAAGTGGACTAAGAGTCTAAATTTTTGCTTTAATAATTTACAAGGGAAGTTTTAAGTTTCAGAGGATTCAGTTCTCATCGTGCTATGTGAACTAGACATATCATATTCAGCTATTATCATACATTTTTAATGCTGTTTTAGTACATTAGTGAGCACTGCATCTTGCTTGGCTCTGCGGGTGGAGTGGGATACTCTCTTTACTAGTTTTTGCTATTTTTTTAATAAAGGTTTGGAAGATTCAGAGTGGACAGTGTTTGAGGAGATTTGAAAGAGCACACAGTAAAGGTGTCACCTGTCTAAGTTTTTCAAAGGATAGCAGTCAGATCCTTAGTGCCTCTTTTGACCAGACAATTAGGTAAGTAAGAACCCCCTAACTGCCCTTACTTGGGTTTGCTATGATGATCCAGAGGGAGGTACTGGGATTCCTTGTGCTTCACTGGAACATTGTTATATGGAAAGTGAGGGTAGGAGAGACCCCATTTTTCCAAATTACAATTGACTGTGCAGTTGTTGTCCATTTGAGTCTTTACTCAGAAGAGATTAGAAAGCAATTACAGCAGTGTTTCATGTTTCTCAAGATGGGGTCTAGGGACCCACCTGCATCAGAATCACCTTAGGAGGCATATTACAAACACAAGTTCCTAGGACACAGTTAAGACCTGAATAGAAGCTTATGTATTATTGGCATATTCTCTTCCTCTTTGTGTGCAGAGCTTTCCTTTGGTTTTGTTTGTTTGATACAATGAAAAGTATACTGCATACATAGTTTCATAGCCCTTTTTCTTTACCAGATATTGTAACATTAGCTTCTGCAATTCATCTAAAATATATTCATCATTTGGTCACAGTCATAACATATAGAATATTAATTGTTCTCATTTGCTTTTATTTGTGATAGAATTCATGGTTTAAAATCTGGGAAAACCTTGAAGGAATTTCGTGGCCATTCCTCTTTTGTTAATGAAGCAACATTTACACAAGATGGACATTATATTATTAGTGCCTCTTCTGATGGCACTGTGAAGGTTAAGTATTTCCTACTAGTTTTTTTTTTTTTTTTTAAGATTTATTTATTTTATGTATAGAAAAACTGGGGTGTAGGCCAGAAGTGGGGGAGGGTGAGATGATTCACCAGAGACACAGCACACGGATTTACTGACATACACTGCTAAGGGGAAATAGCAGATGAGACAGGAGAGGTCTGCTGCACCATGTGGGTTAGCTCCCTGGCTGGGAATTGAATTCAGGCCCTAGTAGTGATAGCGCTGAGACTTAACCCCTAGGCCACGATGGAGGCCCTCCTACTAGTTTATTTGGGGATGTCTTTTCCATTTTTGTCCTTTAAGAATTTTTTAGTGGTGATATGATGGTGAAGTAAATCTCTTCTATAGCTATTTCAGCTATAATAGAGATGAGTCTAGCATTCGTATGGGGAATTCCTATTGGTCTCGTGACCTGAAATCTTAAACATGTGAAATTAAACCAAGCTTTGTCATGTGTAGTAAAAGAAGAAGAATATGGAGCCCTGTATTACTTGGTTATCTCCATTTACAGTGGTTAACGTCTATCTTGTCACAAGTATGTCAAATTGCCGTTGCCAGAGCAACGGTCAAATTCACAAAGGGCTGATTTTAGAAATAGATCTCTTTTCTTGTTTTACAACCTTAGCCACCTGTGTATTGCCTTTGTAACAGCATTTAAAAAGGAGTAGGAGAGGTGCAGAGTATGAGCAGAGCCCTCTCTCGGATACTTACTGCGCTCAACTCTCAGCTTAACAGGATCCTAGTATCGTAAGAGATTTAGCTATTTCAAATGCGGGCTCCATTTCCTAGAAAAGAGGAGAAGAGGTAGAAATTTGCTACATATCTTTGAGACATGCCATTTATATTCTGGACCTGTTTTTAAATCGCTTTATGGTAGGAAACTTAAACATTTTAACACAAATACTTTAAAAGTCAGATCTTCTCTTAAGATTACTTATTCTGGCTTGGGACTAGAGTAAGGAACCTGAAGGTAAGCAGTGTGTACTCTACCTTAGAATGGATGGGTCAATGTTATTTTTTGTAATTTAATTTTTGAATTTTTAAATCCCAAGTCTTTAGACATTCTTATCTACCCCTCCCCCCCAATGTTTATGCCTTAAATTTTTGTGTCATAGATTTGGAATATGAAGACCACAGAATGTTCAAATACCTTTAAATCCCTGGGCAGCACTGCAGGGACAGACATCACTGTCAACAGTGTAATCCTGCTTCCTAAAAATCCAGAGCACTTCGTGGTGTGCAACAGATCAAACACAGTGGTCATCATGAACATGCAGGGGCAGGTGAGTGCTCAGAAAGTGCCTTTGTACCGGCACTGTAGGCTCTTCCCAAATCAGTTTGTCTTGGTTCTGGTCCTTCCAGTAATCAAATATGAGTTCATCACTTTGAAAATCATATGCACTATCTTTGTTTTTCAGATAGTCATTTAAACTACAATATGTATCTACAAGGCATCTCTTTAGCATGTCATCTCTTTTCCCAGGGTGTTTGTGATTATGCGTTTTTTTTTTTTTTTTGTATCCTGTGGATAAATGAGGCTCTGATCTGCCTTTAAGTCTCCTTCAGAACCTCATGGCAAATTTTAAGGTAACATACTGAGTGAGGGAGAAACAGTGTGGTGTGGAGTACCAAAATGGGACTTCTCCTAGCTACTACTTGGTCTGAAATAGGACTCCAATAGAAGGCACCAGTGTCTTCATGATGTACATTTGTAACCAGAACACATTCATGGTTCCCAAGGAACTTCAGTTTGTAGTACCATGAAGACTTCAAGATTCAGGTGTTGAGCTCTGGGAGTTGTATTGATCTGAAATGTTGCCTTGGGCATTTGGGGATTGCACTGAGCATGGAGAAGACCCAATGCAGGTGTCTGCAACTCTCGCTTCATGTATCTAGTCCTGTAACTGATAAATTAATTAGTCATTGAGAACCATGGCTGAAATGGCTAATTTGCAGTATGTCTAGTCAGCCACCTTGTAATAGCCATAGCTTCCTATTCATTAATTTTTTTGCTTATCTTTTCATACTTAAAACATTTTATAAAAATTTCTAATATATTACAAAAAGTTCTGTATATTTTTTCCCCAACATTCCCCAATGATAATGTCCTACATAAATATAGTAACAATGATTGCATTCAGGAAAGTGACATTTGTTCATATTGGTTTTTTTTTTTTTTTAATTTATTCATTTATTTTTAAAGATTTATTTATTTATACAAGCACTGGGTACAGTCAGAAGCGCGGGAGGGTGAGAGAATTCACCAGAGCCAGAGCGGGGAACAGAACAGGCAGACTGATGAAGTACACTGCTGAGGGGAGCAGTAGGCATGGCAGGAGAGGTCTGCCCACCATGTGGGACCCTCGCCCGCGGCTGGGGATCGAACCAGCGCTGCGGAGGCTGCGGGCAGCTTCGCAACCCAGCGCTCAACCCCTGCGCCACCGGGGAGGCCCTGTTCATATTGTTAACACAAATACAAACCTTATTTGGATTTTACCGGTTTTTATATGCATTTATTTTGAGGCAGAAAGTAAATAGTTTTGAAATTTCTTCACATCGATAGACTTAAGTAACTACTACCACAATCAAGATACAGAACTATTTCATCACCCTTCCCCCACCGCACCTCCCCCCACAAAAAAAACCTCCCTCATGCTATACATTTATAGTCAGGTCTTCATCCTCTACTCTAGTCCTTGGCAACCGCTGATCAGTTTTCTGTTACTATAATCTTTTCATTTTGAGAATGGCTTGTAAATGGAATCATACAGTATTTAGCCTTTTAACTTTTTCAAATTGATTTCTCTCAGCTTCTTTTATGATGATTTTAATGTCATATAAAATAGAGCAAGCAAAGTCTTGGGGACAGAGCCCCACTCTGCATGGAGAGAGCATCTTACCTCACTGAAGACTACAGCAGGATAGGTGACTTGGGACATGAATTCTAAACTTCTGTCTGTTACTGATTCTAGTTTATTCATTGACTGTTTCCCAGGCAAGAGGATTTAGCACATGATGAATGCACTTGGTCATCTGATTATACATGACTGTAAACCAGAGTGCATATTGATCTGAGAGGCCAGTTTAAATTGCTGCATTAGAACTGCTGCTGATCTATGTTTTGTTTTGGCTTTGGGCTGTGGTTTGATCTAGATTGTCAGAAGCTTCAGCTCTGGTAAAAGAGAAGGTGGTGACTTTGTTTGCTGTGCCCTCTCTCCCCGTGGTGAATGGATCTACTGTGTGGGGGAGGACTTTGTGCTCTACTGTTTCAGCACAGTCACCGGCAAACTGGAGAGAACTTTGACAGTGAGTATTAGACTTAATGCCATCTAAAGAAATTATATTAATGTTTGTGTCTTTCTGAACTTGAAGTAAACCTTTTCCAAACTTACTGCTATCAGTGTGAATTTGGTATAAAAAATGTAAAAATTTTATTCATAAATTCCATAATTGTACGTAATTATCTCCTCTGTCATGAAAAATCATTCTTCAGTGAGTCCTCAGCTTAGGACGGGGATACATTAAACAAGGAAGGCAGGCAGGAACAAGCCTTGCTGGCCAGTTAGATTAGCAGATCTTCCCCAGGGGATTAGAAAGTGATACAGATGGCTGGTTTCCCCCATGTTCTGGCAGAGGCATATTACTTATCCTTTGTTCTGTTGACTTGATTGTGTTGTTTTTAAGCAGCTCTATGTTGTAAGAGTCGGTACAAGAAGTAATAAATGCCAGCTGTTAACAACTTGTCCCCAAACCTGAGTGGCTTACCAGTGAAAATTTATTTCTTACTGATAGAAATTGTGTAGCACTCCTCTTGTCCATCAGCAGTGCCATTTGAGGTACATAGCTATCTCCAGGATCTCAGGAGGAGAAGGCAAGCTAGAGAGTTCTATTGGTGTTTCTAAGACCCACATCTTGGAAGGGCTTACATTACTTTGTTCCTAGTCCTTTTTTTGGTTAGAATTCAGTCACCTGCCCAAATACAGGGGTGGAAGAGAAAATGTAGTTTTCCGTAGTCCTGGAAGAGTAAATTATATGGTGAGCATATGAAAAAAATTATGTACATGTTGGAAAAGAATCTCTTTTGAATTATTCTTGGTTCAACTTTTGGTTACACTCGTGGAACCTCCAGTATAGATGTAAGACTTGAGCTAAATGGTGAGGTAGGGAATGTGTAACTGAAAAATGCAAGTTCACTGAGTTGAAGGAATCACTTGGGCTCAGCCATTCTCTTTGCCTAGAACTTATAAAATGATGGTGATGATTATTAGCATTCAGCTGTAGTGCAAAAATGATTTGGGACAGTATTCAAATGTTATAAGAAACTATAAAAAGTGTGAGCAGCAGTGTGATAGTCTCATTTGGGTTTTTGGTTGTGTGTTTGTCCAGCCCTCATTGGGGCTATCCAAAGAGCTTTAGTCTTTCGTCCTGCTTGGCTCTGGAAGCCTCTTGAGAATGACTTCTTGTAGATTCATGTACCTAAACCCTATGCTTACCTGTTCTAGGTTCATGAGAAAGATGTAATTGGAATTGCACATCACCCGCATCAGAACCTGATTGCTACCTACAGTGAAGATGGACTCCTCAAGCTCTGGAAACCCTAATTTGACTCTTTAATAGCTTGAGAGCACGTACGTAAATGAAGACAGTCTTGTATTGCTTTTTTTTTTAAGGCCAGCTTTTTAAAGCAGATTATCTGAATTAGGTACACGAATAATTTTGTGAGAATTCATGTGTAAGTAGCAGTTACCCTTTTTTAAAAACATTTTTTAAAAGGTATCCATTTGTTTGTTTCTAGTTGGGACAGTCACTTGGTGTTTTCAGTATTCTTTCTGGAGAGTGAAACTATTATTTCTAGAAGAAAAGCTGTACTTGGGTGATTATTTGAAATTCTGATTAAACTGTGTCTCCTGCAGTAATACTTGTAAATAAGGAGCTATTCCATATTCAGTAGCTGTTTTTTCATCTTAATGTTAATAAACTTTACACCTTTTTCTTGACTTTTTTTTTTTTGGTAAAAACTTTATGCATGCATGCATACAAAAACTGAGGTGTAGGCCAGAAGTGCAGGGGATGAGCGGATTCACCAGACGGAGGAGAGCAGCGGGCAAGACAGGTCTGCTGTGCCATGTGGGCTAGTTCCCTAGCTGGGGGTGGAACTCATGCTGCAGTGGCCGGCGATACCTTGATAATGCTGAGACTTCAACTCCTGTGCCACCAGGGAGGCCCGAAACTTTGATTTCAAATGTAACTAAGTGCTCACCTAGTTAACATTTTTTATTTAGAACCAAGTGAGGAGTGGGATATAACAGCATTTCTTGAATCTTAAGTACAACAGGAAGTCAATTCCTGGGGTGGAAGAACAGACGAAAAAGGTCAGATGTTGGTTTGGATCTCATTTCCTTCATTACTCTCACCCATTCATGCTTACCTGTGCCTTCTCGTTTTCTGGCTGACTCCAGAAAACTCTCTGTCTTCTACATAGAATTTATTGCCTGTAGGATCCATTCTGAGAATTCAGTTTTGGCATCTCCTTTACATGTGAAGGAGAGTTTGGTTTTGGAAATGTGCTAATGTTTCTGAAGAAAATCTAGAAAAGGACCTGAAATTTAGAACTTTTTTTTTTTTTCCTCTATATACATCATTACTAGTTAGCTGAAGAAAATGTATGCATTTTCATTTTGGTTATATTCCCCATACAATTGCACACCCCCCCCCCCCATTTTGACCCTAGTCCTTCCTCTCCCCACCCCCCCCACCGTGTGTCTCTGGTTTATAGTTGCTTGTTGATTTTGATTTTTACTTTGTATTAGTCTTTTTCCTGGTCCCTTATTTAGGTTTCCTAAATTCCTGCTATGAGTGAGACCATCCAGTATTTTTCTTTTTCTTTCTGACTTATTTCGCTGAGCATGATCCCTTCCTGCTCCATCCATGTTGCTACAAACTGCATGTGCTTATCTTTTTTGATTGCTGAGTAATATTCCATTGTGTATATGTACCACATAAGAAAAATTTTAAGCCAACAAAATTCTTGTAAATATTTTACACATGGGTGTCTCTTTCAGTGCAAAATATTTTGCACATGGGTGTCTCTTTCAGTAGGGAGCAAAGCTGTTGGGCACATTTGTCACCATAACCAAAGTCTAGCTCCTTGCCGCTAGGAAGCCAGTTCTCTAGACACAATAGTTGCTGGGAGGAAATCAGGTTTTTTAGAGTCAGCAAATTAAGGAGATGGAGGACTGTTGTTCCAAAGACCACCTCAAGTTTTTCAGGGTGACAAAGGTTTTTAAAGGGGCAGGAGCTCTGGGGTATGGCGGTTCAGCAGATTCTATTTGGGAATTACCTTGACTAAAGACCATCTGGGGGCCGCCCCGGTGGCGCAGCGGTTGAGCGCTGGGTTGCGAAGCTGCCCGCAGCCTCTGCAGCACCGGTTCAATCCCCGGCTGCTCCCCGGCCACCAGAGGAGGGTCCCACATGGCGCGCAGACCTCTCCTGCCGCCCGCTGCTCCCCTCAGCAGTGTACTTCGGTCCTTCTGCCTGCTCTGCTCCCCACTCTGGCTCTGGTGAATTCTCTCACCCTCCCGTGCTTCTGACTGTACCCAGTGCTTGTATAAATAAATAAATCTTAAAAAAATAAAAATAAAAAAAATAAAAAAAAAAGAAAAATTTCTTTAAAAAAAAAAAAAAGACCATCTGGTTGTCTTGCTGGCACCATCCTTTTGGTCTACAGGTCATAATTTGCAATTTTGGGTCCTGGTTATTGTTTTTATTAAGCAAATTAAATTTAGTGGTTTACTGCAGAATTCTTCGGAGTACAAAGGTGAAGCAGTCTTTGTTATGGTGACATGTTGATACATGCAGGTAATGTGTAAGGTACCATTTAAAGAACATGCGGGCCTCCCTGGTGGCACAAGGGGTTGAGACACAACCTGTGGGGCTGTGCGAGTTTGATCCCCAGCTAGGGAGCTACCCACATGGCGCAGCAGACCTTGCCTATCTTGCCCACTGCTCCCCTCAGCAGTGTATTTCAGTCAGTGTGTCTGTTCTGCTCCCCACTCTGGTGAATCCTCATCCCCCACACCTCTGGCCAGTTCTTGTATGCATAAATAAATTTTTATTTTTAAAAATTTATCAATCCTTTTTTTTGAAGATTTATTTAAAAGTTCCATCCAGAGATCTCCCTGGTGGCGCAGGCAGTTGAGCGCAGCACTGTGAGTCTATCCGCAGACTCTGCAGTGCCAGTTTGATCCCTGCTGGCCTCGGAGCAACCCACGTGGCGAGCAGACTTCTCCTGTCTCACCCGCTGCTCCTCTCAGCAGTGTATTTCGTCAGTCTGCCTATTCTGTTTCCCACTCTGTCTCTGGTGAATCCTCTCACCCTCCAGCGCATCTGGCCTGTACCCCGGTTCTTGTATAAATAAAAATAAATCTTTAAAAAAAAATTTCAATCCATGGCCAGCCGGGGATCGAACTAAAACTGCAGGATAGCTTCATAGGTTGTATCTTAACCCCTTATGCCACCAGGGAGGCCCTGCTTCTTCAAATTTTATTAGAATTCTACTTACCGAACTGGCCACAGGCAGTGAGAAAAGCACTGGCACGAATCTGAATGCCAGTTCTGGCTGTCATTTAACTTTGGCCAGAACAGTGGTTCTAAGTGTCACCTGGTATCTTGCTTGAAAGGCAAATTATTGGGTGCTTACTAGAGACCTACTTAACCCAGCTGTGGCAGCGGGGCTCAGCACTCTCGCTCAAATTTGACAGCCAGTTGTCTTGATTTCCTCACTAAAAAGCAAGTGTTTTAACTCTTCACAAGGCTGCAGAAAAAACCAGTGATATACACCAATGAGAATGGTACATACTAAAAAAACTAGCAACAACAAATGTTGGTAAGGATGTGGTGAGAAAGGAACTCTCCTACACTGCTAGTGGGAATGCAAACTGGTCCAACCACAATGGAAAACTGTGGTGGTTCTTCAGATTACTAAAAATGGAGCTACCATATGACCTGGCAATTCCATGCCTAGGGATTTACCCAAAGCATACAAAAACATTAATTCAAAAGGACACCAGCACCCCCATGTTTACTGCAGCACTTTTTAGAATAGATAAGACTTGGAAACATCCCAAATGCCCAAAAATAGATGACTGGATCAAGATGTGGTATATATACACAATGGAATACTATTCAGCAATCAATAAACTCATGCCATTCATAGCAACCTAGATGAAGCTAGAAGGGATCATGCTCAGTGAAATAAATCAGAAGGAAAAAGAAAAATATCAGATGGTTTCACTTATAGGAGGAATACAGGGGAACCAAATAAGGACTTGGGAAAAAATACAAAGCAAGACAAAAATAAACAGGCAACTATAAATCAGAGACTTTCTGTGGGGGGGCAGAGGGGGATGGAGGGAGAAGGATCAAAACGATGGCGGGAAGAGCACAAGGGACTATGTTGATGGTGCACGGGTGAATTGGTGGAAATACTGTGGGGACTATACCTGAGCAAAGAAAGCAAACATTGTACAAAAATGAACAATGATGTACAGTACAGTTTAAAAAAAAACAAAAACAAAAAGCCCAAAGTGATAAAGGTGCAACAAGACTCAAACCCTTGGAAAGGGCACCTTTGTATCTCCATAGCTTGCTAACATTTTTTGTTGATTGTACTACTAAACCCTATGCTTCTATTTTCCACATTACTCAAGTGAAGAAATTGCAATTAAGTATTAAGCTGTAAGGGTCTGTGGTCTCAGTGTCAAATGCAGTGTCCGTGCACACTGGGTGAAAAACAAGACCACCATTATTTGACCGTCCACAGCAATTTTAATAGTTGCATTACCGTCAGATAGTTGATATAGCCGTACCCCTATACTGGTGGCTTTCATCCTTGGTTGTACATAATCATCCTATGGAGGCTATAATCCAGCTCAAGTACACTCAAGTCCCCCAAGGGTGGGATTCAAATTTTCAGTCTGTTTCACAGCTTTCCAGTAATTCTAGTTGTAGCCAAGGGTGACAAGAAATACCATATGCAGGAAAGATGACACCAAATTCAGTTAGATCTGCCAGAGAGCACCTTCACGGGCCACTATCAGCCTGTTATTTTTAGTCTCTGAAAACATGAATAGGTGCAAGCATCACAGGTAGCAGTGGAGTTAGTGCTGGAGCTAGGAATTTCACTTGTGACCTTGGCTAGTATCTTTTTTCTGGTGGGTTGAATACAAAGACAAACTGGTCTATTTCTGCCTCTCCAGGTTGTAACTTTTTTAGTACTTCCACTTGACTCCTTCCTGTAGTAAAACGTGTAAAATATACTAAACCACTTTTACGTAATTCATTAATTATTGGCAGTCATCATTATTCTGCCCTTTTCAATCACCCCTCAGCAGAAACAAAGCACTAATTCTCCATCACTCTCCTCCTTGAGTTTGCCTAGATATTTCATGTTTGTCCCTTTGGGTCTGCCATATATACATGCCATTTTGTTGATCCATTTTTTGTATTTGTGGATTGTTTCCACTTTGACTATTGTGAATAATGCCGCAGTAAGAACTGGTACACAGGTATTTAAGAATTACTGGGTTAGATATGGTAATTCCATGTTTAGCTTTTTGGGGAGCTGCTGAACTTTTCCATAGCCACCTCCAGCTCCACCAGTTTAAATTCTCACCAGGATTATACAGGTTCCAATTCCACCACATTCTCACTTGTTTCCATTTTTGGATTATCCTACTAGGCTGTGGTTTTGATTTGGAAATATGGAAAGCCTCCTCATGTAAAGATTATTGTATTTTAATTTTTAAAATGTCCTTAAAATTTCAAATGTATTATATAACATGATCATTGCAAAATTTTTAAACTGCATATAAATCTAATGAAAACTAATTTTGCCATTTTATTTTGATTTGTTAATGTTTTCCTGAAAAACTGCTTCATAGCCAAACAAGAAGGTAGCTATCTAGCAGACAGACTGAAAAAGATGACCCAAGAATTGAAAGAGGTTACCAATGAGGAAAGTCACTATGACAACACACACTGAAGTTTTGGGCTTATTCTTTAGATCAAGTTTTAGTTTTTCAAAAACTGACATATCCTGTCAAGAAAAACATGAATAGGTGCAAGCATCACAGTTAACAGTGGAGTTAGTGCTGGAGCCAGGAACTGCACTTCCCACTTCCACAACTGGAATTTTTAAACTTCATTAGAATAAATCCAGCAACTCAGAAATGGATAAATGGGCATAAGGCTCATTCCAGTGTCTGTAAAGTTTTTTAAATCCCCATTTCTTGGTTCATAATTCATCCCTCTACTTTCACTGAATACCTTTGTTTCATATTAAATATTTATTTCCAGTTAAAACTTTTTTTCCATTTGGATATATCTCATGAACTAGTTGAAAGGCAATTTGCAGAACTTAGTAGAAAGTTAATATTTTCATCTGGGAGGGAAAAAAAAAAGCCTGTAGTGACACACACTGGAAATGCTTTGTAATCAGTATATTAAGGAGACACTCACACATTTCAAGAATTGCTTAAATTCTGATACCCAGATTTAAGCTTGCGAACATGACTTTTAAACATACAATTAAAGCTATTCATCATAATTTGCTATACTACCACCATTAAATTACAGTTACCTTGGAGCATAAATGATTTAAAGTAAGCCTGTAACTTATCTAATAAACACCTTTCTATCTCATACATGCAAATGACATCTTCGTGTAAAGGTCTTGTCGCTCTTAGCTTCTTAAGTTATCCTGTGCTCCAGAAGTCACTACTGAGGTTTATCATGGTCCAGAGAGAAGGGGGAACAAAAATGTAACAAGGACTCATTAAAAAAAAGATGGCACAGCAAAAGGGAATGCAATTCTACAAGTGCAAGCCCTCAAGCAGCAGCATATTATGATAAACCCCTTCTTTAGAAAGGTTATCTTTTCTATCACTGATACCACAGGCTAAATTATTTATCATGCCGTCAAATAACAGTTGAGGCAATAGAATAAATGTAGAGGCATCACAATGAATCCCACTTAATACAAGTAATTATACAGAAAAACACTGCCCTAACAAATTAAATTCTTTGACTGCCAGTTAAATACAGTTTTAACTTTCAGAGTTTAAACAAGTAAGGGTCATACACTGAAATTAATACACACACCTAGAACTTTTCAGTCTACACTATTTCATGTACATAGATAGCCAAAATCATTACAATGTATGGCCTAACAAATGCTAGGAGCAATTCTTTAAAAGTAGTTTTTACAGGTATTAAACTTTATCTTGCACACTGAAGTCATCATACATACAGGGCAAAGTTGGAGCTTTTATATTTGAGTTTATTCTTCATTTAACTTTAAAACACTACTATAGTTGAATATTAAAACAAAAACAATTGCCAAGTAGTGATCGTATTGATTACAGTCCTTCACTCATTCACTACTGCATTTAAACTGCCAGCAGTGAGTGTTATTCACTGGCCCCATTAAGAGGTCTGACACTGAACACCACCCCTAGGATGATGTTCATCGTCCTCATAAGCTTCTCCATTGTAATGGCGTCGCCTTTCCTGGTTTGGATCAAAATCCACTAGTTCTACCTGGTCCATTTCATCAGTCTCTTCTACTTCTTTCCTCTCAGGTAGGAGTTTTTCCAGCAAAGAGAGTTTATCAGGAGAGAGAAAGCCATTCTCAGGAAAGTTTACCTATAAAAAGAGATCTCCACTTTAACTTGATTTACTTCATTAGTTCTTCAGACAAATTTATTGCCAACCCATCCTCCTTCTTCAAACACACAAACTTTTTTTAAATCTTACAACCCCAGGTTAAAACACATCCTCTAGAAAGAATTCCACCTACTACTATGAACTAGAGTTGAAGGACAATCAGGCCTTTTATGAAAATAATGATCCTAGTGAAATTATACTATAGAGATCATTGTTCTATTCAGTAAGTACTTTATATAATAACTTTATATATATACTTATATAGAAATATATAAATATACTTTATGTATTTTAATCCTGTGATTTAAATAACACTCATTCAAAATGGTAATTCTTTACCCCAAGATGTTTTATTAAATGATGTCTGAGTGAAAAACAGTCACTTAATATTGAGAAATAGGTCAGATTATTTCTGAATCACCTTATTAAAAAACCAAGCAATATATTTTGCCTCCAAATCCCCATTACTTTAAGTGCTTCTGCTGAAATTTAAGATTCCACTTAAAGTCTTTCAGTAATACCCATTTGCAAACACTCCTCCCATACTAATCTTCAGGTAGCCAAAAAGGCAAACAAATTTGCTCCAGCTTGTTAAAGAATGCTCAACATGAGGAAAAGTATTTCAGTATATTTTTTCATGGACAAAGACTGAAAATGTTTCCTGCATTTGAAAAAGTTATTCTGTATCACATTCTAATAAGCTAATTATTCTCAAATATTCCTTGACTACTTTGTAACTTACCTTAAATTCAATGATTAGGCGACCCTTTTCGTATGGTCTACGATAAATTGGCATGCCTTCATTTAGCACACACTTGATATCTCCATGCTTGACAATCTGACCTAAAAACATTCAAGTCAAGTTCTTTAAATATAGTCACATTTTTACGAGGCAAGAAAATAAAGATCAGGAATATTCTAGCTCACTGATAGGGGTAAATTCATGAGAAGCAATCCTATTACCTTTCATTTATGGATTTCCTAGGGGCCTGCAAAGGGCAAACTGTAATTTCAGCTCAGTCTACAAGGATATGTAACTGAGCAAGAAAAATAAGTCATCTCACCGACTGTACAAGCAGTCAGCAATAAAAAAAGAACATCAAAATAGAGAGAGAAGCTCATCTAGTTACCATACCTGGATGAGAGGTGATTACTATGGTTCGATTGTCAAGAGTAGATATTGGCTTTTGGAAGCCACACAATGCTTCAACCAGTTGTATGTCCATACACATGAATAGATCTTCTCCTCGCCTGTAAATACAATACATACTTACATCTTTCAAACCACCCAAAAGAACCTCAGCAGGCAATTCTGTTTTCTTAACAGCAAAGGCCCCTTTCATAAAAATACCCTTCCCCACTATAAAATCAGAACTGAGAATGAGGAAATGAGGAAAAACTAGATATGAGGAAAGTGCCAGCTCCCATTTCCTGGGCAAGACTTCAAAATCTACATTCTACTCAACCTCTCCCACTTCTCATCCCTGAATTGTTTTCATTGCTTAATTTTATTTTTTAAATTTTTATTTATGCATTCAAGAACTCGGATATAAGCCAGAGATGCAGGGACTGAGAGGATTCACCATAGACAGAGTGGGCAGAATAGGCGGATCTACTGAAATACACTGCTGAGGGGAGCAGCGGGCGAGACAGGAGAGCTCTGCTGCACCATGTGGGTCAGCTCCCTGGCTGGGGACTGAACTCAGGCCGCAGTGGCTGGTGATAGCTTGATAGCATGAACACTTTAACCCTGTGCCACCAGGGCCTTCGCTGCTTAATTTAAAATCTAGTTTCTCGCATGGGGGAGAAGAAAAAAAAATGTATCACCAGTAAGGTTGAAAGAAAGCAAACATACACAGGGAGAGAAGATACTACAATGTAAGTCAAACAGATCTAGACCAGATCCTGATTATTTTAAGCTTTATAAGTATGGACAGGACCAATTTCAAGGAACAGCAAAAATTTATTCATGTACATGATCTAAGTAATATAGTGCCCAGCATATTTCCTATGGACAAGACCACACTCTCCTGCTTACTTTTCCAATGTATATTAACAAAAAAAAAAAAAAAAAAAAAAAAAAAAAAAAACAGAAAACCTTTACTCAGGCAGATTACTCTCCAGAGAAATTCTTAAGGATTCACAGCAAATGACAGCATCAAAATCTAGAGCTGGAGGGCCTCCCCTGTTGGTGCAGGCGGTTGAGTGCTGTGCTGTGAAGCTGTCCGCAGCCTCTGCAGCATCAGTTCAATCCTGGCCCGCCAGCGAGGGTCCCACATGGCGTGGCAGACCTCTCCTGTTTTGCCCGCTGCTCCCCTCAGCAGTGTATTTCATGAGTCTGCCTGTTCTGTTCCCTGTTCTGTTTCTGGTGAATCCTCTCACCCTCCTGCCATCTGGCCTGTACCTTGGTTCTTGTATAAAATAAATAAATCTTAAAAAAAAAAAAAAAAAAAATCTAGAGCTGAAGACCATTTCATTTCCCATTATTTTTTTGTATGCTTGTGAATGCTGTTTTAATGAATGCAAATTCAATTCCCTTTCAAGATTTAGTCCCCAAAGATTTAATGGAACCCAGTTCCCGTCCTATATTTTAAAATTAGTCATGGATTTATTTTTAACAAGTGTTCACTGTTAACTATCACATTCTCATACTGATTCATTATAAGTTCATCATACACACAGCAATGGATATGCTATATCAATAGACCTTAATTTATATACTATTTTAGTTCATAAAATGGTTCCAGGGCCTCCCTGCTGGGCTGGAAGTTCAGTCTCAGATTTATCACCAGGACAGCCTGGGTTCGATCCCCAGCCAGGGAACTGACCTACATGGCGCAGCAGACCTCTGACAGTGTACTTCTGTCAATCTGCCTGTTCTGCTCACCACTGTCTCAGGTGAATCCTCTCACTCCCAACCCCCAACCTCTGGCCTGTACCCCAGCTCTTGTATACATAAATTTTTTTTTTGAAAAAGCTGTATTAGAAAAAAAAAGTTTGAGTAAATAGTCAAACTCATACCTAGTAAAAACAGCATGGTCCTTCTGATCTAAAACAATGATAATGTCTCCTGGCTCCAGTCCTGGTTCTTGGTCTCCTTCACCATGGAATGTTATCTTTTGGCCATCTTTCATGCCTAAAAACAAATGGTTAATTTTATATTTTTAATAACCAAGTAAGGGCAAACTCTCCATCTATTAAACATGTTTGTGTGTACATTAAAGATATGTTCAAGTCTTTATGGATACAAGAAAAAAACAAAATCACAGAGCCAAACCAAGAATATCCATGTGACTAGATGAGTACAGATTTCTTACATAAGGGTATCACAGTGGAGAACACAAATTCTAGAGGGAAACAAGCTTCATGTCTCAGAGCTTGTATTTGCCACTGGCTGGATTACCCTGGGAAAGCAAGTTGCATAACCTTCTAAGCCTCAACTTTCCCACAGAGACCAACCCCATTAGGGCCGTTGTGAGGATTAAATAAATGTCTATTCTGTTACCAAACAGTGCCTCAAATGTTGAAATGATAAATTACTACTTCATTACTTACTTAGAATAACCTGTATCAAATTATTTCCACTAAGTCTAATAACAGAACAAATAAAAATTTTCTTCTTACTGTACTTTTAGTATTCATAAATAGAAAATCTATATATAACCTAAAATTTTTTTAAATCTTTTTGCTGAAAAATGCTTCAGTTTAGCCCTTTCTTTGTAAAAGCTTTACTTATTGCTGGACATGCCTTTAGCCCATGTGGCTAGAGTCAGAAGTACTTTCCAACAGAGCAAAATATTTTAGGGCCCAGATATACTTTACTGCAGTCTCCACCCGTCCCCCCGTCCCCGCCCCCCTCTGGCCCTGCATTCAACTTTACTTCAGCGAGGGCTTACACAACACCTCAGTCGAACATAACTCATGAGTTTGCAGATCACTGTGCTGTAGCACCACCACCTGATTATTTCTCTCAATGAGTGATTACTGAAGTAACCTAACAGTAAGACCTTTGTTTCTCACTATTATGGAATATATCCACTCTATAAATGCAGCTATCAGTACAACGAACATATATAGCCAATAATCTATACTCAGTAGTTGTAATGCTTTATGTACTTCAATTCATGCCCTTCCAAACATTCTGAAACAAATCCAGACATACCAATTAATCCATCAATATTTCAGTATGTTGCTTTAGAAAAAAAGGACTATTACACACTTGATAAACTAAACACACTCTATCTTACTTTTATGCATGAGGAAAAGTAACTGTTTACACTACTGAAACAATTACACTCAAGAGGTGTTCCACTATTGTGAAAAAGCAAGGGTACAAATGTCATAAATGACTTCACTTGCCAGTGATGCTCTCCCCAGTACATGCTGGGTAGTAGGAGAATACCCATCCTAGACTTGCCCATTGAGGGAGGGGAGGAGGGAAGAATGGAGGAAGGGCAGCACCCTAATCACACAGGTGAATACTGGTGCAAAATTTTGGTGTAAATGTGCATATTCATGAGATGCTAGTAATATTAATAGAATATTATTGATAAAATACTAGGTTTCATTTAAAAACAGCTGAATATGAAGATTACATAGTATTTCAACGTGGCTGAATTAGATTTAAATTTTCTCTGTACGTTTCTAAAATTTCTACAACCAACATGTATTTCTGTAATAGATTTTAAGATGTTTTCATAAATTGATACAATTCAGAAATTGGCAACATGAAAATTAAATCCTAATAGGAAAAGAGCTGCAGTTAGAATATGCAGTACAATAGGCAATAACCGACAGCACTATTCACAATCGAAGTTCCGACAAATCAGTTTGGAAAAATCTGATTACGAGACTCCCAGTTCATCACCTAAACTCCCTCTCCCATAAGTTAATTACAATGAAAAAAGGATATAAGCAACTGTTTAATAGTATAGAATTCAGATTGTAACACTATGACGGCAGTGCTGTATCAAGTGAAGAGATCCTTCATGTATCTCCTGCAAATGTGCTGAAAAAGTATTCAAGAAAAACTAGTATTTGCTATGTGGCTAAGCGCTATCTTTTGGCATAGGACCCATACATACAACTATGAAAGATAGGTTTTGACAATTATAAAATGCAGTATTAATAAACTTGTTGCAGCACTCAATAAAATTCAGGATAAGCGGCTCAGAACTTACCTTTATCGATGTGAACTTCTAGAATCTTCTTCTCTCGAACTATCTTCCTTCCATTGCAGCTTTTACATCTGTCTTTAGGACTGATCCGTTCCCCATGGCCCTGGCATTCCATGCACACAGACTGAATCTGCTGAACCATTCCAGGTCCAATCTGATGAATTCTTATTTGCATCCCAGTACCTCGGCAATTGGGACAGCACTCTACTGCTCCTTTCTTACCACCTCGGCCTAAACAGTTAAAATAAGGTATGACTTTATTTAGTATCAGACACAATAATGTTTTACTAAGACAATCCCCTGAACACTACATTTTATCTTTAAGAGTGGATGAAATGTAGTTCTAAGACTCTACCTGGTGTTTGAGTGAAAAAAACAAACAAACAAAAAACAACAAAACCCAGCTACAATCACCTTCAATTTTAACTGTGGTCTTCCCAAGGAGCCATTTCACAATTTTAAACATGTGCTCCCCAAAAACACAGTACTTAGAACTTGCTGATGACTGTGAAATGAGAACATTTTTGAAGATCTTCTTCAGAAGATAACATTATTTCCAACAATATGTTGTATTTATAAAGAAGCTTACAGGTTTATAGCCAGTAATTTGTCATTAAACAGTAGGGTATTCAAAGAGAAAACACTTTAACTCATATTAGATGAAACGACTGGATGACAGTTTTTAAGATTTAATGAAATGGGAGTGGCTTGTCTTGGAGTAACACAGAAAAAAAGGACACCAAATTAGACTGATCCCACAGGATGATCCCCCAATTTAAACTGTGCACATAAAACAGGGTATTTCAATTTTATTTTGTTGGGTGGTTTTTCTTGCATTCTCCAACATTTATGTAAATTACTTCTCATATTTTATATGTCCAGAAATTCTTCAAGTTCCATTGTGTTACTAAAGATGTTAAATCCATACCTTCACATTTGTCACAAATCACATTCTTTTGCAGAGCTAGCTTTCTTGTTGCACCATTATATAAGTCTTCTAAGGTTACTGAAAGTTGATGCACAACATTTTTACCTAGAACGAAACATTGCTCATTAAAAATCAAAAATGCTGCAACTTATTTGTGCTCAATGCACTATTAAAAACAGTCAAGTGGCCTCCCTGGTGGTGCAAGGGGTTAAGTCACAGCACTGTGAAGCTATCAACAGCCACTGCAGCACGAGTTTGATCCCTGGCCAGGGAAGTGACCCATATGGCATAGCAGACCTCTCCTGTCTGGCCCACTGTTCCCCCCCCCAGTAGTGTATTTCTGTCAATCCACCTGTTCTGTTCCCCACTCTGTCTCTGGTGAATCCTCTCACCCCCCTGCCCCGCACCTCTGGCCTGTACCTCAGTTCTTGCATGCACAGTAAATCTTAAAAAAAAAAACCAAAAACCAAAAAACAAAACAAAAAAAACCCAACAAAAACCAGTCAGGATGACAAATGAACTTCACAGGGTCTACCTATTCTTGAGCACCTATTATATAGGCAGAATACTGGCCATATTATCACACATGCACCTCAAACTGATATAATTTTAGATGAGGAAAATTGAGAGCTACTCAGCATCTTACCTATGTATACAGACTTTAAATTAGGCATATTTCACAATAAATTCAAACCTGCATTTCTGTCCCCATTACATTCTTTGAATCTTTCAAAACAGTATTGAGCAACATGCTAAATTACTTCATCCAAAAAATCTTCAGTACACTACATTCCAACTAGTCAAGAGTGGCCAGGGAAGCGCATATATTTATTCAGCTTTCATAAAAATATACCAAATTTCTTACTTTCTGAAGTAGGAACAGCACATTTACTGCTGGGCTGGCACATTTCTTATATTCTTTATCATAGAGCCGGTCCAATATTAACTTTCTGCAGCAATGGAAAAGGTTTTATATTATGCTATTCAATGCACGAGGCTATTGGGCATGTGAACATAACTACTGAGGAACTTATATTTGTTTTGACTTAATTTAAATCAATGTGGCCAGGGGCTTCAAAGGAGGGTTATAGCATTTATATGTGGAAAGTGGCAATCATCCAAGGATAATGAGGCTATAGAAAGTTGCCTGCCAATGGTTAATAAGTTTCTAGTTAGTGATCGCCAACAAGGACTTTATCCACTACAACACATTAATGCCTTATGACGGAGTAAAAAAAAGTTCTCAAACTCCTATCTGCTTAACAAACATTTTCATTTTCAAAGAAGGGTTTCGTACCATTAACTACATCCTTCTGCTCCTAGCTCCATCTTTATTCTTTCATCAAATACAATCCCATGTAAGTTGATTGGGCAATCTAAAAGCTGCCCTTCTTATGTTGGCTTTATAAAGTTAACAGCTTAAAAAAAGGAAAAAAAAAAAAAAAACCAAACATCTTAAGTTTGATTAAGCAAGTTACTTTCCTAGTATCAAACCACAAGAGACCTCTCGTCTATCTCAGTTGCACAGTTTCCTGGTGAATCCATATTTAAAATGAACCACTACTATTTTGTGGGACAAATCATTCTAAGAGGTTGATTTTGATTGCAAATTAAGGTGAATTCCTCAAAAAATAAAAAAATTCCCCCTTCAAGAAAAACTGATTCCGGGCCTCCCCAGTGGCACAGCAGGTTGAGCAAAGCATTGTGAAGCTGTCCGCAGCATCTGCAGCGCAGGTTCAATTCCCGGCCAGCCAGGGAGAATCCCACATGGCATGGCAGACCTCTCCTGTCTCGCCCAATGCTACCCTCAGCAGTGTATTTTGGTCGTCTGCCTGTTCTGCTCCCCGCTCTGTCTCTGGTGAATCCTCTCACCCTCCCACTCCTCTAGCCTATACCCCAGCTCTTGTGTAAAAAATAACTAAATCTTTAAAAAAGGAAAAAAAAAAAAAAAAACAAAAAAAAAAAAAAAAAAAAAAACCTGATTTCCAGTAGTCTCCTTTATTAATCTTAAAAAAGGTTCAAAAGAAACCCAATAGTTTGCACTCTCTAAAATGGGTTATATCCATTAGTCCATGTTTGCATGTGTAAGCTATACTGGGAACAAAGTAGGACTGTCTGTACTCACTGTTACTTCCACAGCCTGCAAAAACATTTCTGCTAAATGTTAAGGGCACATATTTTGATATGATAAAGCGGCATCAAGATCAAACAGATAGGTTACATCTGAAAGCAATGAACTTGTGTCCAAACCTGTCTCTATGACCTTGAAATTTTTAGGTTACTGAAGTTTCACTCACTTGATTGAAAAACATCACTGTTCCTCCCACTACAGTCCTAGGAGGATTAAATAAGCTCTGCGAAAAGGGCTTTGAAAATTATGTTCCTATACTCTGCTCCTTTAATTAATACTTGGTAACCTACAAAAGTTGTGTCTGTATACATATGTCTCCAGAGCTTTTGGTAGCACTAGATTGGATTGCCTATTTTTAGTTACAAATCTTATTTTAAAAATCTGTATTGTAAGCTGCCTTGGCAAAATGCAGCTCTCCTGCCTGTCTGTGCCTATACAGGCACCTCTTTTTTATTTCTCCTTTTCCTAAAAACTTGTAAAGTGCGTAAAAAACAAACAAAAAACCCCACAAAAGCCCAAAACCTATACTGTAAATCAGAGTGACAGTTCAGTCACTGCAATAGTATACCAACATCTAAACATTTAAAGGAGGCAAATTCAAAAATTTTCCCGAGCACTAGGTTTTCCTTACCTCTCCTTTCTCTCTGCATCCTTCCGCCTCCTCCAAAAAACATATCAAAGATGTCCATGGGGGAGCCAAAACCACCACCTGCTCCACCTTCTTTAATGGCTTGTTCTCCTCCTTTGTCATACAAGTCCCTTTTCTTTGCATCAGAGAGCACTTCATAAGCTTGAGAAATCTGTTTAAACTGTTTCAGAAAAGGGGAATACAGTTCACTTTAAAATTAAAACACAACTGTGAACCTCCCTGGTGGCTCAAGGGGTTATGAAGACAGCTACCTGAAGCTGTCTGCGGCCACTGCATCATGAATTCAATCCCCAGCCAGGGAGCTACCCACGTGGCACAGCAGACCTCTCCTGACTTGCCTGCTGCTCCCCTCAGCAGTGTATTTCAGTCAATCTGCCTGTTCTGCTCCCCACTGTCTCTGGTGACTACTCTCACCGCCCCCAACTCTGGCCTGTACCCCAGTTCTTGTATGTAGAAATAAATATTTAAAAAAAAACAACACACAATTGTTAGAAACTCAGCCACTATATTGTTAGACACTAAGTTTCAGGCCACGATGGAATCACTCTACACCTGGCAAAGTGCTATTCAGCTACATTTCAGAGTATGTCTACATCACTTGCCTTCTCTCCTTCATTTGGATTCTTATCAGGGTGGTACTTCAAGGCCAGTTTCCTGTAAGCCTTTTTCAATTCTTCCTGGGTGGCGTTCGGTTTGACTCCCAAAACATCATAGTAAGTGGTTTCTTTCACCATTTTCTACAGCCTGAATTAAGGAAAAACAAAACAAAACAAAACACAATTCGAACTGACTTTCAACGAGTGGTTTTAATGCATAAAATCAGAGCTCCGACAAAAAAAGTGCCTTCCTTGCCAAACACGTCTACAAAATCACTGCCTTTCCGAAACGTCACACACAAGGCAGCGACTCCTTTGCTAATCCAGCCTTCGACCTCAACCTAAATAGAGACTATTATCAGCACTCGAAAGTCTCTTCCGAGAAGCGGGGTGCCACGCTCCCCCACCAAAGCCTTAGCGGCCCCGTCCGGGAGTCTCTGTGCTCGCCTCTCCCGGGAGGAGACCAGCAGCAGAGACCTCCCGGGGCACGAGCAGGTTCCGTCCCTTCGCTATTACCTTACAATTATCCCCGGTACATCTGATAACCCACACACTCCCTAGACGACGTCGGGGCCCCGGCTAGGGGGAGGGAGAGGGAGGGACTTAGGAACCGATTCCGAACACCCGGGCCCGAAAGCCGGCTCCCCTCCCCCTCGACCGCAGGCCCCAACAGCTCGGCCGCGACCGCCCCACCAGCCGCCGCTCGCGTCGTTAGGCTCCCCCCGCGCTGGGCTCCGACCGTTAAGGCTTCCTTCCTTTCTCCCTCCCACCCTGGATCGAAAGGGTGGGAGGAGAAGTCCAGGCCTGAACAAAGAGAGGGAGGGGAGACGGAGAATCGAAAGCCGCAGCGTCCGCCGGGCTCCTCCCGCAGCCCCTCGCCCCTGCCTCCCTCTGCGCGTGCGCGCAGGGTCCCCGCGCGCCCCCGCCCCGCCCCCACCCGCCCCCACCTCAGGCGCGGGGGCGGAGGAGGGGGCGCGGGTCCCCGGGGACCACAGGCCGGCCGCGGCGTGGAGGGGGCCGACGCCCTCGGGCTCCCTCAGGGGCGCCGGAGACGGTGGCCGCGGCACCACAGCGCACGCCGAGGGGCCCCTGGAAGCCGGAACCCACCGCCTCCCGCCCACGCGGGCCAACCGCCTCCGCCCGCGGCCCGCCGGGCCCCGAAGACACCCCCCTCCCGAGGGGGCCGCGCGGGCGCCGCGACTCACCGGTGAGCGGGCCGAGGCCGGTGTGGGGGAGCGGGAAGGCGCGCGTTGCTGTGCGCAGCTCGGGCAGCCGCCGCTCCTCCGCCTCTCACCGAGCGTTCTGGAAAGTTCCGCCCGGCGCGCCGCCGCCGTCGTCTTTTGTAGCCGAGCGCGGGCGCGTCACCCGCCGGAAGTCCCGCCCCCCGCCGCCGCGCCGCCCCGCGGTTGCCTGGACGACGGCGCGGGGGCGCCGGGCCGGGAAGGGTCGGGACGCGTGGCCTCGCGGGGGTGGACCCCAGCGTGGGTTCCCGGGGCTCGTGGAACTTTCTGGAGGCCCTTGCTTGACTCGTTGGACGAGGGGAGGGCGCCCGGCTGGAGGGGAGAAGGCCTTGGAGGGCTGCACTTCCGGCCAGCGCGGGGGGGGGGTTCCCCCCAAAATGGGGTGGCTGCTGCCTCCTGCAGCGACGGGGAGGCTTCTGGAAGCCGGCCTCAGGCTGCGCGGTGTGGGGCGCAGTGTGGGAACAGCTCTGATCAGAGCCTTCCCTGCCTGCTCCCCGCCAGTTCCTTTAGCCTTAAGGTTCTGGGAACCCGGCGAGCAAGAAATGCTGAGCAAGACGGGCCTCTGGCCCTGCAACAAGCTCACAGACCTTGGCTCTTGCTCCTTTTCTCGTGCAATCGTTGGCCTCGTAGTTGGCCCAACTTGCAACGCTCTAAAAGTCCAGGCCCCTTGACACATGTTATCTGTGAGGCCTTGCTGTCTCCTACACATTGGACTTAGGGCGGCGCTGAACAGGGAAGCGTTTGGAATGCGTTGGTGCAAACTGCAGGCCTTGGACTCTGTGGCCAGACTTTCACCTGATTTGGCTGGTACTGATGTAACAGCGTGGTCCCCAGGAAAGGGGGAGTTTCCAGGTTTCCTGGGAGAGTAGAGCTGAGCAGGGAGAGTAGAGCTGAGCAGGGAGAGAAGAAGCAGCAGAGGAGACTGAGGAAGGAGGGAGGCAGGATGGAGCCAGAAGGAGACCTGGAGGAGGCGCATGGAGCCTAGAGACACGCGAAGAAACTGCGCTTGTCTTTTGGGCGTGGACGGGGTGACACAGATGTGGGTGAGACCCGTGGGGAGGTGACCATGGCAGCTTTTATCTTGATTTTGCTCTTTTCCTTCTGGGCTTGTCTGGTTGTTTCTGACCCTTTTCTGTGGGTCCCCACTGGAATATGCTTTAGACTTGGGGCAGGCTTTGGGGCCTTGCTCTGGGCCAGTCCCATTTGGATGGAGTTTTACCCACGAGGGGACGGGTAACTTTGGGTGCTTGATTTAGAAACTAGATTCTTTGCCTTTCCTGTATTGTTTCCTAATTGTATTAAAGTTCCTTCCCCTTGAAGTCTCATGTTTTGTGTTAATGCGATGGATGGCAGAACCTATTTAGAGCATGCAAGTTTGGGCGTTCTGGGGTGCCCCTCTCCCTGCCCTGTAACACTGAGAGGTTAACTAACAAATTGTTTCAGTTATTTGACCCAACTTTTAGATTTCACCAGCCCGTGAATCTGGATCTACAATCTGCAGAGAGAGACATTGGGCTTGCAGTTGTTGGGATGGGGACGTTGTGGAAAACTGTCTTCCTTATTCAGTAACACTACAAACATGGGAGTATCTGTTACCCAGGAAGCTGGAAATGCGAGTTTGAAAAAGCCTGGCTCATGTGGCATGGCTGTCCGCGGGGAGCCAGAGAAGTCTATGCACTGCTATAAGGGAACAAGATAGAGGTCAGCAGGGGAGAGGCTCCCGTATCAATCTGATGGAACAAAGGAAGTTATGTGAAAGTGGCACTTGAGCTGAGTTTTAATTCAGGAGGTGAGCGTTCCCACAAAGAAGCACAAGAGAAGGTTAAGGTGTGGAAGCATATAGCTTTTTTAAGGAAATTCCAAGTAATCATATAGAACCAGAGCTCAGAGAGCTGGAGAAGCTGGAGGTGAGGCCTCAGAGCTAGTCAGGGAACATCTTTTGTTTCACACATGTTGTCTATGTGGCCGAGCTAAGCATTTTGAACTTTACTGTGATGGTAAAACTCCCCACACCTTGTCTGTTTTATTTGAACTGTGCTCTCCAGTTTTACTGGCTGTCTGCAGTTTCCCAAATGCACTTTTCCACGTCTGCTTTCGCTCTGGCTGACTCTTAATTTTTCCATCTTAGATGTCACCTCAAATATCACCTCTGGTATAATTTTTTTTTCTTGTAACCAACACTTCTGCCAGGCAGGGTGCTAGGTCTTGGTACTATAAAAATTATGTAAGGCATATTCCCTGCTCTCAAGGAACTCACCACAGGAAAGAAGGAAGAATTGCATGATAAATGCTAATAAAGGAAGGGTATTGGGGTGCTGAGGAGAGAGGACTCTTGCATCATCCAAATGACTATCCCAGGCTGAGAGACCAGCAAGTATAAAAACATGAACAATTAACAATGAACAGCAAATGATAGCTAAATTAATAGTTCCTGTGATGTATGGGTATTGTGATCCTAAAGCCCCTACTTCATCAAAACATGAACTGCATTTGTGAATCTAACATTGGTTAAGTATATGAAATAATCATAAGTACAGTATATATCAAGTCACTTCAAGTTTCCCCAATAAATATAACCATGTTTAATGTTTGCTGAATATTGCCATGTTGAGTGCTTCTTTTTGCCTCAGGAACCCAACTGAAATTCCCACCACTTTGAGAAAGATAACACCACTGTGAGATTGCCAACATAAAAACGAAATAAGATATTGAAAATACTTTTTAAATCTGCATGCTCACTAAGTACCTTCATTCTTTTTTTTTTTTTAAAGATTTATTTATACAAGAACTGGGGTACAGGCCAGAGGTGTGGAAGGTGAGAGGATTCACCAGAGACAGAGTGGGGAACAGAACAGGCAGACTGACAGAAATACACTGCTGAGTGGAGCAGTGGGCGAGCCAGGAGAGGTCTGCAGCACCCTGTGGGCTGCTCCCTGGCCGGCTGGGGGGATTGAACTTGTGCTGCAGTGGCTGCGGATTGCCCCCTAGGTTGCGTCCCAACCCCTTGTGCCACCAGGGAGGCCCAGAACCTTAATTCTTTATTCCGAATAAAGATTAAGGGTCAGACAAGTTAGTTATAAAAAGGGAAACTGTATTTGCTTGTAAGTGCATAGAACATTTTAGAAGTTTACACAAAACCTATGATATGGTTGCCTGTGGGGAGAACTAGGGGCTGGAGCGAGGCAGATGGGAGGGAGATATTATTGATATTATTATTACCCTTTTGAATTTTGGAGTATTTTGTAAATAAAAAATTTGTATTTGAAAATTTGTAATTTTATGAATGTAGCACTTATTTTATTAAATTTTTTTTCTAAAGATTTATTTATTGGGCCTCTCTGGTGGTGCCAGGGGTTAAGTCTCAACACCATGAAGCTATTAAGCTATTGGCAGCCATTGCAGCATAAGTTCCATCCCCTGCCAGGAAGCTAACCCACATGGCACAGCAGACCTCCCCTGACTTCCCTGCTGCTCCCCTCAGCAATGTATTTCAGTCAGTTTGCCTTTTCTGCTCCCCACTTTGTCTCTGGTGAATCCTCTCACCACCCCACACCTCTGGCCTACGCTCCAGTTCTTGTTTGCATAAAAAAATAAATCTTTTTTTTTTTCCCGGAGGTGTGGAGTGGCACTGTATGTGAGAGGACTCACCAGAGACAGAGTAGGGAATAGAACAGCCAGATCTACTGAAATACACTGCTGAGGAGAACCTGGAGCAAGAGGAGAGGTCTGCTGTGCCATGTGGGTTAGCCCCCTGGTGGGCTGTAGTGGCTGGCCATCCTTGATAGAACCGTGTCTTTAACCCCTGCATCACCAGGGTAGCCCCTGTAGTATTTATTTTAAAAACCACACTTAAAAGAATATTAAGTTCTCTCCTAATTGAAACTATGAAATAGTAACTTGTGACCCTAACAACAAAACTAGGTGATTCTTAGTTACCTTAAAAAAATCACTGTGTGTGTTCAATTTGACATTTTTCCCCTTTATACTTAAAACCCTTTTCTCACCCTTTCCTCACACAGCTACCACGCAACCCAGGGAAACTCCAATGCCAAGGGTCTACCTGCAAGGTGCAGTGAAGAATTAAGGAAAAGTACTGCTGCTCAGGTATGCCACTGACCAAATGATTTTTTCTATTTTTTTTTGTAACCAGATGAGTTTTATTTTTTTTTTAAAGATTTATTTATTTATGCATACAAGAACTGGGTACAGGCCAGAGGTGTGGGGGGTGAGAGGATTCACCAGAGACAGAGTGGAGAACAGAACAGGCAGACTGACTGAAATAACACTGCTGAGGGGAGCAGCGGGCGAGACAGGAGAGGTCTGCTGTGCCATGTGGGTAACTGTAACTCCCTGGCTGGCCAGGGGTCGAATTTGTGCTGTGGTGGCTGTGGACAGCTTCACAGATTCTGTCTTAACCCCTTGTGCCACCAGGGAGGCCCACCAGATGATTTTTAATAGCCCTTCCAAGTCTGAGACTCTTCATCTAGATAATTTAAACTCTTAAATCCTGTTTATCTTCATTTTATTTGAATAATACAGTTAATATTTTGTTTGTATATATCTTTAGGTAATTATTTGACCTTTTTAATCTCACTTTGCTATCAAATATCTTTTAACTTAGGTTTGACATTCTATTTGAATTTAATTTTTCTGCACATAAATTGAATTTTGATGCAGATTTGAATTGTTTTGCCCCATAGTTTGTCAGAGACTGTTAAGGAAGTAGCCTCAATTTGTTGTAAATAATTTCTAGGGTGTCCCATAAAGCCACAATATAACAAAAATCACCTCTGCAAGATTTAAAAAAAATCTTCTTGAACTTGGCAACAAATTAATTTTATTTAACAGTTGTCACATTTCAAATAAATTCTATAACAACCTCAACAAAAGAAAAACTCAACTGAAGCAGTGACCCTTTGCAAGGTCTTTTCAAGTGCTCTTCATTGATTTGTAAGCCCTCATGTGTTCCCACTTCCTTCTGTGGATACCTCCATAGCATTTATGTACATATGTATAAACTGCTATAAACATTGATGGTGAAGTCCCCTTCTAGAAAATATTTATAGCCATTTCCAAGGATACAAGAAAAGCCCAAAAGGCAGAACACACACATATCCAAGATGCTATAAATTAAAAGGGTAGGGAATAAAGAAATAATATGGGTAGACACAAAATGGAACCAGGGACAAAGCTAAAAATACATGTGGGAATGACCATATTTGCTACAGTTGGGCCATGAATTTTCATCTATGCTGACAGCCTCATTGGCCTCACAGTTCAAGGTGTCCATAGATAAAAAACAAACCTGTTACTCTGGAGAAGTTAAACTATTTATGGAACTAAGATCAGATTGGACTGTCTCCCAGGGATGCGCATAAAGAGAACATTGTGTTATATGAGGAGCAGTGTCCTTGACACCAGCCCTGATGGATGACCAGTTCACAGGGATGCCTCTTATACATCCTGATGCAACATACCAGAAGGCGATTCAATAGGTTAAGCAATGCCTCTGAGGTGGAGAGTTGTCGCAGTGATGATGGTGTTACAACATTTTATCTCCCACACCTATATACCATGTGTCAAGAAGTATTTCTTGAGTGAATGTCAAATGGAGAAAATGCAGTCTAAAGACTCCCTCTAAAAGAGCCTCCCTGTTGGCACAAGAGGTTAAGTCTCAGCACTGTTAAGTTATCTGCAGCCACTGCGGCATGAGTTCAATCCCTGGTCAGGGAACTAACCTACTTGGTCCAGCAGACCTCTCCTGTCTTGCCCGCTGCTCCCCTCAGCAGTGTATTTCAGTCAGTCTGCCTGTTTTGCTCCCCACTCTGTCTCTGGTGAATCCTTTTACCCCCTCCCACCTCTGGCCTACACCCCAGTTCTTGTATGCAAAAATAAACAAATCTTAAAAAAAAACAGCAAAACAAAAAACAAAGACTACCTCTAGGAAGGACCCCCCCCCCAACCTTTTTCCCCACCTCTGTACTCCCTTTTGTAGCTTGGGTTAAACTGCCATTTAAACATTTCAATGTTAAATTTCTCACGTCTTCTCCAGATATGAGAATGAGACCGTGTGTGTGTGTGTGTGTGTGTGTGTGTGTGTGTGTGTGTGTATGTATACACTTTCTGGTTGTGGTGGTGTTGAGTCAAGAAAGTACTGTACTCATCAAACTAGCAGGTCAATTTGCAGGTGCCCTTGAGAATGCCATTGGCTTATATCCAGACTCCCACATCCAGAGTGTCCTTTTGAGCAGAGCCAGTGCTGCTAATGGTGCCAGGATGGGCCTTTGCCATTGGGCTCTGCTGAGCATCGGGAAGAGCCAGTCACAGGTCACAGTAGCAATGCCATAAAAAGACTCAGTGCTGAGCTAGCTGTACTGGTTCAGTGCTTTTTACAGTGCTGTTCGAAAATTGGGGTTGGGTTGAACTTATAGGTTGGGGTTCAGTCAATTTATCTGGCAGAGTTAGAGGCTTGGGAATAGAACTGGTTCAAGGATCTTTGTTCCTGATCGGTATCACCATCTCTCATTTCTGACTGGCATCTTCCTCTTGTCATTGACATTGTAAAGGTGTTTTGGAGCAGGAACTTTTTCCTACATGTAGCTTTTTTTTTTTTAATATTTATTTATTTATTTATACAAGCACTGGGTATAGTCAGAAGTACGGGAGGGTGAGAGAATCCACCAGAGCCAGAGCAGGGAACAGAGCAGATAGAGTGACAAAATATACTGCTGAGGGGAGCGGCGGGCATGGCAGGAGAGGTCTGTTGTGCCATGTGGGACCCTTGCCGGTGGCCGGGGATTGAACTGGCGCTGCAGAGGCTGCGGGCAGCTTCGCAGCCCAGCGCTCAACTGCTGCGCCACCAGGGGAGACCCCCTACATGTAGCTTTTTACCTGCATGGTCACATTGGTGTCTTCATCATGATGAAGATGCTCTTCATTTTCTGCTGCATGACCCTGTCTTGCTCTTGCTTCATAGCAATGGCATAGTTAGTTCTAGGCCGGGAAACTGGGAAAGGTGAAGTAGTGCTTAGGAATATGGATTCTGGAGACTGACACTCTTAAGTTTGAGTCCTGACCCTGCCACAATCAAGTTACTTGCAACCTTTCTGTGTCTCAGTTTCCTCATCTGCAAAAGAGGATAAAAATATTGCCTAGCTCATGGGGATATTATGAGAACTAAAGGAGTTAATACATGTAAAGTGCTTAGAATAGTGTCTGTATGTCGTAAATATTATATAATTGTTTGCTGCTAATAAAAATGGTCATAAGAATTACAATCCTATTCAAACAGAAGAACTAATGTAGTTAATAAGTCAGCATAATGTTGATTTACTAAAATATTAATTGAGTGCCTACTATGTGCCAGTATTTTCTAGGTAAAGGAAATTATGTTGACCATGACAGAAATAATCCTGTACCTAATGAATTTATAGATGCATCAGGGCAACATTACACTAACTATTACAAGGAGATAAAGAGACTCTTTTCTTAGGGAAGTTAAATCTTGACTCAAAGTGTAGACATTTCAGCCATAAGATTTCCAGCACACCATAGGAACAAACCCTTTTTTTTTTTTTTTAAGTGTTTTGATTCTCTAATGCTGTAACAAACTATTCCCCAAATGGTGGCTGAAAGTAACAACAATCATTTATTTCTACAATTCGGGCAAGGCAGGAGCACCTTATTTTTCTTCCATGTGGTAACTGCTGCGATGGCATGACTAGCACTGAAGGGGCCTTCCAAGCTGGACCACTCACATGCCGTCTGTTGGCTGCGAGCTCACCTGGGACTGTTGGCTAGGACCAACTCTTCTTCATAAGATTGCCTATGTGGCTAAGGTTGGCTTCTCACACCTGGATTCTGAACAGTAGTACCTCAAGAGGACAGGTCCTAGAGCTTCAAGCACTATCAAGATTCTGCTAACATCATACTTGTCAGTGTCCCATTGCCAAAGCCAGACCTTTAGCCAAAGTACATAGTCATTGTTGGGGAGGCCTACATAAGGGCAGGTAAGCATCAATAGGGTCACTACAGTGTGATTGACTACCACAGATGGTGAGGCTAAATCTATGTGATCTAAAAAATGTTTTGTTCTTTTTTTCATCTTAATCACATATCCCATACCCCCTCTCTAAGATATCCAAGGAGAAGTCATATAGGTGGGAGATAAAGTCTCTTCTGTAACAAATGTCCTTTGGAGAGTGATTAAAAATGTTTGAGGATTGGCAGAAACGATGCCAGCAAGTTCAGGAAAGTAGAACAGCTCAAAGGTAAGTGTGTGAAAGGTGAATGTGTGCCAAAGCTGGGTCTGGCTTACTGACTTTTCTATCCTACCTACCACCTAGCTTACTGTCTGCTACAGAGAGGCTTTTAATGTGATTTTTCATGAATACAGACATCAAGATTTGAAGAGTGGTCTCCCTGGTGGTGCATGGGGTTAAGTCTCAGCAATATGAAGCTATCTGCAGCCACTGCAGCACGAGTTAACCCATGAGTTAACCTCTCCTGTCCTACCCGCTGCTCCCCTCAGCAGTGTATTTCAGTAGATCCACGTGTTCTGCTCCCCACTCTGTCTCTGGTGAATCCTCTGCACCTCTGGCCTATACCTCAGTTCTTGTATGCATAAATAAATAAAAATGTAATCTTTAAAAATAAATAGAAGTTAAGACTAAACAACAAGTTTAGTTATAATTGAATGAGCACTGGAAGGCCATGAAACGATTTAACAGAGGTAACATGATCACATTAGTGTTTTGAAATGTTCTCTTTTTTTTTTTTTTAAAGATTGATTTATTTATGCATAAGAGAGCTGGGGTATAGGCCAGAGATGCAGGGGTGAGAGAATTCACCAGAGACAGAGTGGGGAACAGAACAGGCAGATTTATTGAAATACACTGCTGAGGGGAGCAGTGGGCGAGACAGGAGAGGTCTGCTGTGCCATGTGGGTTGCTCTCTGGCCGGCCAGGGATCGAACTCCTGCTGCAGAGGCTGCGAATTGCTTCATAGTGCAGTGCTTAACCCCTTGTGCCACCAGGGAGGCCCTGAAATATTTTTTGTGGTTGCACTGGAGAAGGTGGGAGTGATTTACGGAGAAAATAAAGTGCATTCCAGAGGAAATAGCATGAACATAAGGGAATGCAGTAGAAAAAAAAAAAGTTAAAAAGTTCATTATTACTGGCAATATTGAGAAGGGCTTAGGAAGACTGGGAATGAAGAGATTGGTAAGGTAGAAGTTAAGGCAGACTGTTAGAAGGACTTCCTCTGACTTTCTTCGTAATATGTTTGTAAGAAATTTCACGAGAGGCTACCACAACAGCCACCATTTACAGAAGTAAGAATTGCTGAATTGATATCAGAGCTCTAACGTGAACCATCAATGATACAATGTCAGTACTTGGGATTACAGTGACTATCCCCTAAACTCCTGGAAATTTAGAACCATGAAAGAGTTAAGCTATGAAATCAACACATTGTTGGAAAGGTTAACCAGTCCTAAAGGAAGGAGTTGAAAACAAAGTGTAAATTATAGGTGGAAGATTTTAAATTGTGGGGTACAGTTCAAGGATACATCCGCATGTTTAGCACGGGGTATATAGAACAGAACTTCTCTATGCCAGTTACAGGTGTGCCACCAAGAATATGGAAAGATTATAATTAATAAAATATAGTTAGAAATGATATATATATATTTCATCATGAAAGCTAACATCAAGCAAGTATAATATTCACAGAAACATGCTCAAGTTTCTCATGAAAAATTGAAAATATTTTATTTGGCTATTTAGCCTAAATGAATATTATTTTTCCAAATACTTTGGAGATATCAATTTACCTAAAAAGAGAAGTAAAGTGATCATCACTAGAAAATAGTGAGGAGTGAGTTAGATTGAATTTTCACAGAAGTAGACACCGAGGCAAGGATTTCAATGCCAATAGTTTGTTTGGAAATGATGCCAAGAAGTGAACAGGGGACAGGAGGCTTGAAAAGGGACTGGGAAGGGGGCCAGTATACAGGTGGGTTAATGTGCAGGTTACCATTCTGGGCAACTATGGGTTAGTCTTGCTGCTGAGTCTCTAGGAGACAGTGTGCTCTGTTCTTGAAAAATTGTTTGATCCCAGAGGTGAGGGAAGTTTATCGACTTCTTTAAATCACTTCACTACTGCTCCCTGGGGAAAAAGCCTCCCACTTCTGACCTGTATGCAGCCAGAGAAGACTCTGGGGGCCACGCAAAGTCTGTAGGTACAGTCACAGGTGCTTGCACTGAGAAGTTGTTGAATCTATGAATTTATGCAACTATATTTAGCGCTTACTGGGTTTTGGTCCTATCCCCACCAAGTGACTTTTTTTACTTGCATCTGACTGAGGTCTGCCTACAGAGGAGAATATGTCTTGTCTAGTTGATTCTGCCTCCAAATTATCTTTTGAAATCAGTCACTTCTCTCTTGTCCCTGCCAGCAGCCTTTGTACTATGTCAGTAAACTCTGCCGTCAACCTTTCTGTTCTCGCCCTTCCCCTCTAATCCATTCTTCCTCACAGCAGTCACTGTGAAAATCAAATAATGTCACTCCCTGGCTAACTCCTCAGGGGTTTTTCATTGAAGATAGGGTTAACCCACCTACAGTTCCTGAATGGTTTACTATCTGACCCTTGCTCAGATCTCACCATTTTTTCCCCTTTCATTACCTACTCTTCAGCTCCGCTGGACTTCTGTCATGTCTGAAAGGATATGCTAAAGGCCCTGCTATAGGGCTTTTGTACATGCTCCTTCCTCAGATCACAGACCTAGAATATTCTTTTACCAAGTCTTCACTTGTCTGCTTCCTTTTCATCTTTCTGGACCTAGTTTAATTTTCTTTCTCAAGATAGGTCTTTCCTGACAGCCCTTCCAAACTCCTCTCATGCTATCCTTCAAAAAAACCCAAAGCAAAATAAAGTTTCCTAGCTATATTTGTTGCAGGGCAGAGAGAGGGGCACCCCAGAACCCCCAAACCTGCCTGCTCTAAATAGGTTCTGCCATCCACCACATCAAGATAAAACATGTAAGGCCTTTAATGGAAATGAACTTTAATACAACTAGTATTAAAGTAACACTCTTGGGTAAAAGTTCACCCAAATGGGATTGGCCCAGAGCAAGGCCCAAAAGCCTGCCACAAGCCTTCCGGTGGGGACCCACAGAAAAGGATCAGAAACAGTCAGACAAGTCTGGGAGGAAAAGAGCAAAATCAAAATCAATATAAAAGCTGCCACCGTTAACCTTCCCATGGGTCTCTCACCCACATCTATTTCCATCAGTCCAGGACCAAGAAGGGAGTACAGCTTCTTCACATCTCTCTGCTCCTTGTGCTTCCTCCTGGTCTCCTCATTGCTCTCCATTCTGCTTCCTTCCTTCTCCAGTCTCTTCTCCAGCTGCTTCTCCCTGCTCAGCTCCACCCTCCTTTTGCTTGGGGCAGGGAACCTGGAACCTCCCCTTTTTCCTGGGTACCACTTTGTTACATAGTCTCTCCCCAAACTCTATACTTTTCTTACTGAGCAAATCTCTGGACCAGACCCCTGCAGCCTCCTCACATTGATCTTCTGGCTCCAACTGCCTTTCTTTTAGACCAGGAGTCTCAAAGTCACAAAGATAAGAGGGCCTTTAGGGGACCAGACAGGTTATAACCAGTGAGAGGAAATAGTGGCTAACTGGCAACCGCTCAAAGTTTCAGCTACTTGTTGCCAAAATTTACTAATTTATTGGTATTGATTTTTTCCCCCCAAGGATCCTGATTTTTGTGTGAGATCTTCTAATTTATAACTCTTGGAATTAAAAAAATTAACACTGCCCACCCCCACCCCCCCAAGCAGAAAGGCCAAAACAGTCTTGAAAATGAGGAACAGATTTGAAGGGTCTACACTACTAATTTCAAAAATTATCACAAAAGTTGCAATAATCAAAATAGGATGGTACTATCATACAGACACACACACCAATGGAATAGAATAGAGAGCTCAGAAATAAACCCTTGTATATATAGTCAAGTTGTTACAGGGTTGAGTCACGGGTACCCCTGCACCCCCCCCCCATACTGTCTGCTCTAAATAGGTTCTGCCATCCACAGTATCAAGACTAGACATACTCTAGTGCATAAGACCTTTGATAGAATATAACTTTAATACGATTAGTGTGTGATAGAGAGAAGAAAAGGGAAAGAATAGTTTCCAAATCAACACTCAAAGTTACCCATCCCCTCCTTGGTAAATGCCCCTCCAAACAGGGTTTGCCCAAAGCAGGGCTGCTGAAGCCAAAAGCTTCCCACACTTCCTAAGGCACCTTCTAGTGGAGACCCCTAGAAAAGGGGCAGAAGTGGCCAGGCAAGTCTGGAAGGAAAAGAGCAAAATCAAAACCCAAGTCAAGATAAAAGCTGCCATTGCCAGCCTCCCCACGGGTTTCTCGCCCACATCTGTGTGTCTTTCAAGTGCTCCTTCTGTATCCCCCCAGTCCCTGGTACAAGTCCGGGGCCAAGAAGAAAGCGTGGCTTCTTCACATGCATGTGACTCCTTCAGTCCTTTACTTAATCTCCTTCCTCCCTTCTCCCAGTCTTCTCCAGATTTCCCTCTCTGCCCAGCTCTACCCTCCTTTGGTTGGGGCAGTGAACCGCCAACCTCCCCTTTCCCTGGGGATTTCCCTGTTACAAAATGATTTCCAGCAAGGTTTCCAAGATCGCTCAGTGGGGGAAGAGATGGTGTTTTCAACATATGGTGTTGGGAAGACTGGATAGTCACGTGAAAAAGGAATGAATTTCGACCTTTACTTTATACAATATAAAAAATAAAATGCATCAAAAACCTAATTGTGAGATCTAAAACTAGAAAACATAGGGGAAAAACTTCCAGTGATTTCTTAGATATGACACCAAAAACACAGGCAGCAAAAATAGGTAAAGTGAACTACATCAAGATTGAAAACTTCTGAGCCTCCCTGGTGGCGCAAGGGGTTAAGTCTCAGCACTATGAAGCTATTGGCAATGACTGCAGCACATGTTCGATCCCCAGCTAGGGAGCTAACCCACATAGTGCAGCAGATATCTCCTGTCTTGTCCACTGCTTCCCTCAGCAGTGTATTTCAGTAGATCTGCCTGTTCTACTTCCCACTCTGTCTCTGGTGAATCCTCTTGCCACTCACACCTCTGGCCTACACCCCAGTTCTATGAAAAAGTAAACTTTTAAAAAAGTGCTCAGCATCACTAATCAGACAAATGCCAATTAAAGGCACAATGAGATATCACCTCACACCTATTGGGATAACTATTAAAAAATAATGGAAAAACAAGTTTTGGTGAGGATGTAGAGAAATGGAAACCTTTATGTACTGTTGGTGCAATATAAAATGTAAAATGGTGCAACTGTCCTGGAGAACAGTAGATGGTTCCTTAAGTATTAAAAATAGAATTATGACAGCATTTCCACTTTTTGCATATATACAAAGTAATTGAGGGCAGGATCTCAAAAAAATATTTGTACATTTGTGTTTATAGTAGCATTATTTATAATAACAAAAATGTGGACGCAATCCAAACATCCATTGACAGACTTAAAATGGTGGTTTTGATGTTACAGTGAATGAAACTTGAAGATTTCAACTAAATGACAAAAAAGACAAATGTATGTAACTCCTTTATGATTTCACTTATATTGTAACAGGGTAGTCCCCAGGAAAAGGGGAAGTTCCAGGTTCCATGCCCCACCCAAAGGTGGGTGTATCTGAGCAGAGAGAAGAAGCTGGTGAAGAGACTAAGGAAGGGAGGAAGCAGGATGGAGAGCAAGAAGGAGACCTGGAGGAGATAGGTAGAGCAGAGAGACATGTGAAGAAACTGCGCTTGCCTTTTGGTACTGCACTGGTTGAAACAGATGTGGGTGAGAGACCCATGGCGAAGGTAACAATGGCAGCTTTTACCTTGATTTTGATTTTGCTCTTTTCCTCCCAGACTTGTCTGGTTGTTTCTGATACTTTTCTGTGGGTCCCCACTGAAAGGTGCTTTAGACTTGTGGCAGGCTTTTGGGCTTTGCTCTGGGCCAATCCTGTTTGGGTGGACTTTTACCCATGAGGGGATGGATGCTTACCCATGAGGGGATGGACTTTTACCCATAAGGGGATGGATGCTTGATTGGATGCTTGATTTAGAAACTATATTCTTTGTCTTTCCTGTGCTGTTTACTAATTGTATTAAAGTTCCTTTCCATTAAAGTCTTGTATGTTTTGTGTTGATGCAGCAGATGGCAGAACCTATTTAGAGCATGCAAGTTTGGGGGTTTTGGGGTGCCCCTCTTCCTGCCCTGTAACAATATGAGGTATCTAGAATGTCAAATTCATGAAAGCAGGAAGTAGAATAGTAGGGGCTGGGGAAGGGAGAAGTGAAGAAGTGTTTAATAGTTTCAGTTTTGCAAGATTAAAAACTGCAGATAGGGTTCACTACAATGTGAATGTGCCCAACACTACTGAACTTTTTACTTAAAAGAAAATTTAAAAAATGATTAAGACAATTTAAAAACAATTTAAACAGTCAATTTAAAAACAATTTTTTTTAGCTAAAAAAAGAAAAGCCCACAATAAGTCCTGAGCAGGAACTCACAATACAAAATATGTGTATTGTGATGAACAGTCTGAAGCCTTTCACAGTGAATCTTGAACTTGAGCAGGCATCAGAATAACCTGGATGGGGCCTCCCCTGTGGCGCAGCGGTTGAGCGCTGGCTTGCGAAGCTGCCCGCAGCCTCTGCGGCGCCAGTTCGATCCTCAGCTGCTCCCCGTACACCAGAGGAGGGTCCCACATGGCGCGCAGACCTCCCCTGCCTCCTGCTGCTCCCCTCAGCAGTGTACTTCGGTCCTTCTGCCTGCTCTGCTCCCCACTCTGGCTCTGGTGAATTCTCTCACCCTCCTGCGCTTCTGACTGTACCCAGTGCATGTATAAACAAACAAACAAATAAATAAATAAAACATGCCTCTATTAAAAAAAAAAAAAAAGAATAACCTGGATGGCTTCTTAAAACAGATTTGCTGGCACGCCCCAGTTTCTGAATCAATAAGCCTGGGGTAAGGTCCAATAAATTTGCATTTAAAACAAGTTCCTGTAGGGCCTCCCCGGTGGCGCAGCGGTTGACCGCTGGGTTGCGAAGCTGCCCACAGCCTCTACAGCGCTGGTTCGTTCCCCGGCTGCTCCCCGGCCACCGGAGGAGGGTCCCACATGTCGCGCAGACCTCTCCTGCCGTCCGCTGCTCCCCTCAGCAGTGTACTTCGGTCCTTCTGCCTGCTCTGCTCCCGGCTCTGGCTCTGGTGAATTCTCTCACCCTCCCGCACTTCTGACTGTACCCAGTGCTTGTATAAATAAATAAATATCAATCTTTTAAAAAAATTAAAAAAAAAAATAAAACAAGTTCCTGTAATGGCTACTGATCCAAGGATTACACTTTGAGGGCTACTTCACTTGGTAACACCGCAGACTACTCTTAATTTCTCTATTTCTACTTGTGATCACTCTTTGGTTCTGAGTTTCTGAAAGTCTGAAGTGCTTGCGTGCCCTTGACCATGATTTGTGCAATGTGACTTTGTTCTGTAATACCCTGTGACAGTGTGCTAGACCTAATAGGCTGGGTGTAGAAACTTCCCAATTTTGCACAATTGATGAATAGTCCAATTAGAATAGCCAAACTCAATCTTGAATATAAGACTCACTAAGGCAGATCAGGTAGAACAAGTGCTAAAAAAATTTTAATTCTGAGGAAACAAAAAAACCTAGTTAGACCCGCCAGAGTCACCTCTTTTTATCTGGAGCGGTCTGAATCACATTCCACTGCCCACAAGGGCTGAGTAACCACTGAGATGCTTCCTATGTTCCCCCACTTCCTGGTGTGACCCTAACATAAACCTGCATCTTTCCTGCTAATAAGGCAAGCCTCTCTTCTGCGTTTCCTTCCACCCTTCCTTTATTTTGATAGTTGGTATCTTCATCCTACTGTTCAGTCAGCTTTTCTGTGGAAGGTAACAATATTCCATCTTGCTTGGGAATATGACCCTTAAGACTCAGTTTCTGTGGAGTTGGAGAAAAATGGTAAATTATGCCTTCACCCATGAGCTAGGACTTTTCTATCTGCCCAAATGCTTTCGAATAACTGCAGTACATGATCGTTAGGGAACATGGTGGAATTGCTATAAAAATCAGCAAAAATCTCAGCAATCTGCTTCTTGTCTGATTGCTCCCCAGAAAGGTCTTTTAGTGAAAACAGCACTAAAAAAAAAAAATCTTAGTAGGTTTCCTTCGGTAGTCCCTTCAGTCAGTCCTCTGTCCCCCGACCAAGGAGCCAGCCCAGGGCCGACTAGCAAAGGGGCAGGACAGCAGCGCTACCGCAGGTACCGTGTGCGGCGAGAAAGACGGCTTTGTGAGGCAGTAAGCTGCGCCGCCACCTAGAAACGGCCATAACTAGCTGCCCGATGGCTCTCCCGACTGAGAGGCAGAGACGGGAGCGACTCGCCAGCAGAGAGACGACAAAAGAGCGCGTCCTCGGGGACCACTGCCGGGGCCACACCAGCGAGACCGCCTGGCGCAGGCCTAGAACCTCTCAGCCAATCATCCCCGGGACTCGCGGGTGACGTCACTAGTCGCGCGCCAGAGTGCGTCTGAGGTCATTTCGTGGCGCCGGAAGTGGGACATGGAGGAGTAACGCGAACTTGCCGGTCTGCGCCTTCTCGAGGTAAGGTAGTCGTCAGCCTTCCTCGTCTGCTGGCGGGGCCGGAGGCCGCGGGTGTGGGCCTGAGGCCGGGGCCGCTGCTGCCCTGCAGTGATGTGTTTGCTTGACGTCCTCACGGCTTCTTTCCCGGGAAGCTTTGCTCGGCCCTCGGGCTCTAGAAGTCTGGATTTCTCACTTCCTCTCTGCTCCCTTGTTTCGACAGCGTTCATTTTAGTCTCCGTCCCACTTTGTGTTGTTTTTCGCCGACACCCGACGCATGTCCCTAGCTTGGTTGCAGTTCGGGCAGAATAAAAATTAATTAGGGTGCGGGCACTCTCCAGCCGTTGGAGGGGGCTCCGCTTGTCGTGAGCCGTCACTGCGCCCTCAGCAGGCCTGAGAGGAAGACTAGTAGAAGCAGGTCTTTTTTCACACAGATCAGTGACAGTGGGTCAACAAAGCAGGGGTATAATTTCCATTTAGAATTAACGTGGTCCAGATTTGGAGCCTATCTTATATCAGGGATCGTTAGAACACTTGAGAGACAAAAGTGTTAATGTGGGTAGACAGTGCAGATCTAGATGCAATCTGTCTATATCTGTAGTGCCGTCAGATGATCTTTTTACGTGTCCTTAGCTCCTGCTTTCCTCCTGCCTTCTCTTAACACAAGTAGTAATAGTGTTGAATGCTTGCTTTTTGCCAGGCACTGAGTTTTACATACGTCCTCATTTAGCTCTTGTGACAGTCCTGTAGTGAGGATCAATTATTAGCATCGTTTTACAGATGAAGAAATAAAAGTGTAGATTAAATAATTGGCCCCAAGTTGCACAGTGAATGTGTGGTGGAGCCAAGATTTGAGGTCAAGCAATTGGACTTCTGAAACCTGGTTGTCATTCACCGATCTTTTTTTTTTTTTTTTAATTTATTTGTTTATACAAGCATTGGGTACAGTCAGAAGCGCGGGAGGGTGAGAGAATTCACCAGAGCCAGAGCGGGGAGCAGAGCAGGCAGAAGGACCGAAGTACACTGCTGAGGGGAGCAGCGGGTGGCAGGAGAGGTCTGCGCGCCATGTGGGACCCTCCTCCGGTGGGGTGGCCGGGGAGCAGCTGGGGATCGAACCGGTGCCCCAGAGGCTGCGGGCAGCTTCGCAACCCAGCGCTCAACCGCTGCGCCACCGGGGGGTTTCTTAAACTTTTCATTGATCTCCCATTCATCTCATTCTGTGTTACCTTATTTCATGGAAACAGATGTGCATTCTAAAATTTCTGCTTCCGCTTTCCTTTCCTGTAAAGTCTCTAGATTTACACATCTTTACCTTTTGTTCAACCTCAGAGGATGAACTGTCTCTTGATCTAATTGAATCCTTTATGTTTGCTTTGTCCCCCATTTTTTTAAGCTTTCATTTTGTTACATTTGTCATTTTGGTCCCTTTCTGTGTCTCAGTTATGTGCAAGGTTGGGTTTCTTAAAGTCCTAGTCATCCTTCTGTCCTCCTCCCACTCCCCAAGTCCCTTCCCTCTGAATTCCCTTCCCCACAACCCCAAGAAAGAAAAAGTTCTTGGTGCTCCATCTTGGCTTTGGCTGTCATCCAATAACTGTCTTCCCATTTTTGTTCAGACGTTTAAATAGTGCCATAAATTTTAGCTTTATTTTCTTAACCACCTTTTGCACTCTAGCTTTCAGACCTATCATTCCCCTGAAACTTTACCCTCCGACTGCTAGTGATTAATTATCAAGCCAGATAGCTATTTTTCAATTATTACTAGATCCCTTTCCTCCTTTTGAAACTTGATGATACCTCTTCGTACTACTTTGTTTTCTAGGATAGATATCCATTTTCAGTACTAGAATGGCACAAGGCACATAGTAAGCATGAAGAATTTTGCTTGAATAATCAAATGAATGAATCCAAAAGGTGGGTGGTGCAGTAATTAAGAGCCCATTCTTTGGAACTAATTCAAATTCTAACTGGTATACATTTGCTTCTCACTTTGATTATGTGACTTGAACATGATCCTTATTATCTGTAAGCCTTAAATTTTCTTTAGAATGTGACTTGTGATGATTAAGTGAAATGATTTAACTAAGACATTTGACAAATGTCTAGACGCTACAAAAGTATAAGACCAGGCTTGGACTGGTCTAAGTATAAGACCAGGATAGTGATCTCCAGAGACCTTGCATCTGAGTTTCCCAAATGGTTGGGCAGTATCTGAC